TCCATTACCATCATCATCACATGGTCCCATGACTGGCCCAAATTTGTGTCACGATGGATGGATGTACTTTGACAGATGCGGCACCCCTCGGACTCTGGCCATATTGGGCACTGTAATTTTCTGGTCAAAACCTCTGTCTGTTTCTTGGATCATGATCAGCTGCTACATGGTAGGTGGCCATCAACGAAATTACAGGATAAAGGTTTTTTTTTTTGGTGACAAATGTAAGTAGTAGAACTTAATTTAAGAAAGCAAGAAATAAGAAATAAAAGGTTTAATTGATCATATCGCAAATAAGATTTAAGGTTAGGCCTACTTTTTGTCGTTGTATAATTTGTGGAGTTTGTTACTGAATCTCTATGTCATGGTCGAGGAGTTAGCACGGTTCAATCCGATCCCGGATGTGCAAGGTTATCCATGCGGAGACTTGGGGAGCATACATGTGTGTTGGGTCAGATTAAGCTATGAGTCTTGTTGCCTGTTTTTTCTCATCGGACCCTACACACAGGTCGAGGTTGAGAGGGAAATTTTTCGACTCAATCTCTCCAAAGCTTAAATTAGCATTTAGTGGAATAAGAGTGAGTTAAATATATGAAAAGTCCTCCTCCTCTTGATTAAGGAGGGTTAGCTATTATACATACGAGGATGAGTTGGTCATACGGGATCAATTAACTACGGTTGGCTCCTTAAGTAGTCGGCTTAAGCTTTTGTGCGATCGTCAACCAACCTGGACAGATTGGCATCGCGCGGCATCGCCCCGAGCTTTCCAAGACGATTGTATCGTGATGATGTTATTCATATAGAGGGGGCGACAAGCGATTGTCCGTCACATGTGTATTGTGCGCCATATTATACTTAAGGTTCCACGTATGCATCGTCATATCTGCGAGTCCACATAGGCGATACCAAAATATGCCTTATCAGAGTTTAAATCTATGTAATGAATCATCAATGACTAATTCTATACTCATTGTATGGTAACATGTCAATCCAAAAATTGAAGTTTAGGGCAAATTGCATTTGATGCACTCTATAATATCAATTCGTAATAACCAAATTCATTGCGTACATTATGCCCAAGCAGCTCTCTATCTGTTTGAAAACCTAGTTTTTGAGACTTGTGCAAAACTTGAGTCAATGACCTTACAGTGATTTTAATTAATTTTTTTTTTTTGTATAGTTTGGATATAGCCTATTTGTTTTGGTATAGCATACATATACTATTAGTTTGTTTAGGTAAATAAAGAATATCAAAAACCTTGCAATAGTTTTAATAATTTTAGCATCACAATGTGTTCTTAAAGGTAATATGTTATATATATATATATATATATATATATACTTCCTTTCGTGTTTTGTTTTGTTTAATTTGATGCATTTGCTTTTGCATAAGTAAACCCCATATTGATGCATTGTCTTCTATATCTTAAGTCATCACATCAAAGAATCAATAGTTGATACAGATGTCCTATTGCCCACTTCATGTTCATAGATCTTATCATAATATATTTGCACATGGTAACGCATGATGAGTTAATTTAACTCTTTCGATGAGCCCATGTGGCTATCCCTCGTTCGTAGACAAACTCCCCACAGCCAACCATGTTTCTTACATGTGTGGTAACCACACGAGAGCATGCACGTTGATTACCATCTCCTTTATTCTCTCACTTCAGTATGCTTTTTATTGGGCATGGATAGCTCATGATGTCATGCAACATGTACTGGCATCCACATTCTATTTGTGCAATCATGGAATGCAGAATACCACCCATTAAACAAAGAGATGAATGAGACGGGACTTGGGGGAAGTGGGTGAGCATGAGGTGCTTTCAAACTCCCTTTAAGTTTATTAAAAGCAATAAAAGCTAACTTTAATTGCATAAAGCTACGCACTGCTCACACACCCTCTCCATCCTTTCACTTCTTCCACATGCAATAGTATATTGCATTCCCAGTTGAATGAATCCTCTTATCACATCTCCATCATGTAAGATCTAAGCATTAGATCACATCAAGTTGCTGCTGACTCTTGAACTTTATGATAATATAAACCATATGCTTCGTGTGCTATTAATTCGTCTCCTGCACGCAGACTAGAGAATATGTTGTGAATAAAACAATAGACATAAGTTTTATTATTTTCATGGTATGGTAATGATCTACATTTTTTAAAAGTATTTTACTCTTTCAAATAAAAGGATTATTTTTGTGTCATGAACTTAGTATTATTGTTACTTTTTGATTTTTCAACTAGTTGATCATCTCTTATTTTTATTCTATATCACATGGGTGAAAGAAATAACCTGCATCAGGTGCACCTACACAAAACATAATTTATTACGTTATCTATTCTTAACATGCATCTCAAGTCTTTTTTGACTACCTGCATTGGGGACACTACATGTGTGCCATTTTCTTAACCCAATTGCTACCATTATCTTATTATTTTATACCTCCAAAGAGACCAATTTCTTAAGATGTGGTGTTCGTGGTCCTCTCATTTATGTAATCCTCCACTTATATGCGCACCACCATGGTCTTCTCCACAACCTATCCAAATTGCAAGTGGAATATTATCATATGCACAAGATTTGTCGTTGTGGAGACTTGTCCTTTTGTAAAGGACAAGTGGCTCAGTCACCTAATGCCATATTTTGGACACGAGATGTACGTAATTAGGCCTCGAGACAATGCACCCAACTCGATTAGAGAAGAGGATTAACAGCTAACCTGGTTGTCTTGGAATCATGATTAATGTGGCAAAGTTTGATTAGCAGTCACAGGTGTCCTTTCCTTGGCCGATATATTCGGCGAGGAGATGCCGACTTATACGTTCCCCGGCGCCAGGGGACTTCCATTAATGGGAAGTGCCAGGTTGGAGCCCCGTCCGGTGGGGCCCGCGAGTTGTCTTTTAAGTGGCCGAGGTTTCGTCGTGGTCAGTGGCAATCGCCGAGGAATACTGTGTTCCAACGACCATCCACGATTGGCTGCAGGGGAATTGTCTTAAAGCCACTCACCGCACAGCAACACGTGTCCCTTTTGCACATTTAAAGACTTCAGAAACCATCTTTTTTATTCAAAGATTTTTTAGTTCTTCCTAAAAATTCGAGAATGAAAAAAATAATAAGATAAATTTCCTTAAAAATATCATGTTTTTACCCCTTTCTTTTAGAGCGCTCACTTTTGATTTATTTTCACATAATATTTTTATATTTTTAAAATATAAAATTATTTCGAATCTTTCGTACCAATACCTTTGTCTCGATCCTATCATTTCTATCTTATTATCCTTATTTTCTACTCTCTTAATATATATATTTTTTATTAAAATTTGATATTATTAAGTCTTAATCAAACTAATAATATACTGATTTTAATAAAGGGGAGAGAAAGCAAGTGCGATAGTAATCATGATAACAAAAAGGAAAAGAGAAAAAGAGACATGAGGAGGACTCTCACGATAGGATGAAATTGGTATGTATTTGTTAAGAGATGAAAGATCGGTATTATTTTAAAAAAAATATAAAAAAAACTCCAAGAAAAAAAAATCCAAAATAATATGGACAAATAAAAAGGGAAAAATTACAAGAAATTCTTAGTCAAACTCAATATCCTTTGTAACCACACGTAAGGAAAAATCCAGAGAAGTCACCAAACCGGAGGCTTGTAAGGCACGAGGTCTGCCGACATGAAAAGCTATATGGGTTGAATGAGTTGGGTCTCTTAGACTTTGTGTCTGCCATTAGTGATTAGACAATGTGCTCTGCTGTTCTCGGGCAAAATGAATTGGGTTGATGATTAAGATATACAAAACGTCATTTGACTTGTGGCTTATCTAATTAATAATTAGCACTAATCATGTCCCCCACTTGGCCTCTCAATCAGGTTGAATCTCATTTATTGCGTGTTCAATCCTTTTTTAGATGGTCAAAAATAGCTACGGAGAGAGAGAGAGAGAGAGAGAGAGAGAGAGAGAGAGAGAGAGAGAGATCTTGATATGCGCACCTTCATCTTTATCATTATTATAATGCATGCTGCTAAATATTCCTTCATCGTTAGAGGATTTATTTCGCCCATTTAAGTCTTATTTATCATATATGTCACTTAAAAAGTAAGGAAAGAATATATATGAACTTCTAACTGATATCCTTTCGAGGACTATTTGGTAATGAAAGAAATTTCCTTAATGAAGTAAATTTAGACATGCTAACATGCTTTCCAATATCTAAATGTAACCATCTAGTGCATGGATATATTGCAAATTATTAGGGAAGCGTGGTGACAACATCTTGCTAGGTGAATAAATGTCACTATAATTGCAATTGCAAGAAGTCCACTTTCTCCACAACATAAGATACCCATGACTTTTATTCTACTTTTAATAAACTTGATTAATTATTTAGATAATTGAATCCATCCCAAATATTTATCTTTTATTCGTATTTGTTCCAAGCTCAATCGACGAGTATATTATTTATTATTAAGTCAAACAAGCTTAGGTATACGAGAAAAAGAATATATTAGATGAATTATTGCTAAGAATAGCAATATGTATAACACCCATAAATTTATTTTACTTGTTTCGATTCAAGACTCATGTATTTATAATAATTTAAATTATAAATTTAATATCTATTTTTCTACCCATATCCTTCTTAGAAAGGAGTCGACCCAAATAATAACCTAAATTTACCCAAACCAATTAATAACCAATCACGCAAAAAGTACAAATCATTGGGTTTATATGAAAGAATCATTAGAATTTCAAACATAATATTTTCTACTTTATGTTTGTTTGGTCTCTTAGTTTTGGTGTTTTGTTCCTCATAAGGGAAGCAATAAAAAAAATGATAAATGACAAATGAGGATTGAGTGAAATCTTCAATTGTTTATTGGAGAACAGAAACAATATGCGGCAAGACTATCAATAATTCTAGTCAAATTAATATCAATTGAGAACATAGACAACGTAGCCAAGTTTACTACTGCTGTTCTATTAGTCAACGAGCATAGATCGATCACTTAACCATTCATTTGCACTAAAGAAAGCCTTTTGAGAAGAATTGGATGATCATATAACAGCAGTATGTGAGCTTCTCTTGATGTGCATAAGTATTGTTGATTTGATCTCTTGGCAACCAAGTGTAATTTATCAGGAGCAATAAATTAAACGATCAATATCATCCATTTGCTACCTTCTCTTAAGTCGTTCTCTCTTCTTTCTGATCAAAATCTCTTTTACTCGATGATGTCGAACAGCAATATTTGGCTCATTTTCCTCAATAACCTTTTTGTTTAACAAAAAAAGTTAGAGAATTTTTATTGACGAAGGTATATAATCCCATTAGTGTTTGATAATAAGCATGCTAATTCCGAAGGCTTTATGGTTTCAATTATGCTACAAGGCACAGGTCTGAGTAATACTTCCCTTAACACCTGAATGATTTGATTATATTTGCTGCAACAAATGCGAGTTAATTTAAGTAGCACTAAATGACACGATACGCTATATTGAGTTGGAATTACATGAGATGGATGTGATAGGATTACCAGAGTTATATCCATGATTGGACGCACATTCATTTTAGTACATAATCATCTCATTTGGAATGCGAACGATGTGGCAAAGAGAGTGTGCATGCAGCATCGCATGAAAATGTTTTCACACACGACACATGAACTATGATGATACCAGCTACATGAAAGACTGTATTCTCCTTGATATTAACAAGTTCTTCATGTGTTAGTCTAGCTAAGGGTTATATTGGACTCGCTACAATCTTACTTTTTACCTCAACCTTAACTATTACAATGTGAAATGCTTCTCAGTTTTCCATCTGATATTGGCAATCTCCCATGCATATGGTGAACATGACGAAACTCATGTCCTGATGAACACACCATTCCCTGTCTTAGTTATACGTGGTGATGACAAGAGCATGGGCAAAATGCCACCAGAACATGCAACCAATCACTGCGCTTCCTTTTGTTCCCTGGCAACCGAGCTCCAATGGCACCATGCTGGCCAATCAGGTTGAAGACGACATCTCCAGGATCTGAAGAGGCCAGCGGAAGAGGTTTGTCGGGACAAGACACCGACTCATTAGAACCCATGTGCTGCTACTGTAAAGTCGAACTACATGCATAGATTATCCTGAAGAGTAGACCTCTCTTAAGTCTACTTCGTCACCTGTACTTGTCTCCCATTGGCTTTCCATGTCATTATTGCAGGAGGTAGAGGATGACTGAATACAGCATGCATATGTTGCAGATTTAGAGTGAAGAGGAAAGGAAGTAAGTAATTGCAGCTGATACTTGTTTGAAGGTGATTGTTGCATCTTTTTTTTTTTATTAGATAATTAATGCTTGCTAGATTTCATTGAGCCAGCAAAGAGCACACAATTAACACAAACAGTTCTAATAGGAGGGGATATTTAACAGTTCAAAATAAAAGAAAAAGAGCACTACAAAATTCACATCCCAGAGAGAATAATCCTAAATGAAAAAAGCTCACCACAATCCTGACCATGTATGTGCATCGTTACGCGCAACAATTACGGCAAGAAACAGCAGGAAGTTAAGAGGTCAGCGGTCGACCTCAACACTTGTTCCCTGTTTGCCGCCGTCAGACCGCATCGTTCACCAGCTCAGGCTTCGCCTAGAGAGGCCGAGACCCACCACCAGTAGTAGCAGAATGAGTGGGATTAACGGCCGTGGGCGGGCGCCCAAGTGGGGCCGGGAGAATCCAGCGGCGAACTTGGCGACGGCGGCGGCGAGGGGGTCCTTGGGCTTGGGGGGCCGCCCGCGGGGGCGCGGCGGCGGGAGGATGGTGCCTCGGGGAAGCAGCTTGGGCTTCCGTGGCGCGTCGGAACCGGGCTTGAAGTAGTTGTTCTTGATGAACAGCAGGCTGCCGCTGTCCTTCATGCCGGCCAAGTGGGCCGTCAGCAGCGACCAGTGTGACGGCAGTAGGTTGCCATACTTGGTCTCCGTGTACTTCGATATGGCAGACTTATTACACCCGTTCTTGTCGTTCAGCGCCGAGATCGCCTCCAGTATCATCTTTCGTTACCGCATATTGGAGAATTTATGACAAAGAATCTATTATAATGGACAACATGAACCGGAAGATTCTTAACGTACGTCAGGGTATGCTTTTGCTGCCTTCTTCAGTACCGCTAGCCATGGAATATATGCGTTTTGTTTCGAGTCTGTATGAGAAGAGAAGAGAAGAGGAAGAAGAAAAGGATTCGGGTTAGGGGATGGAATGTTATGGCGGTTGGGTTACAGAGGATTGAGAGGGCCTTTAAAGGGGGAAGACGGACGGATCTGCAGGACTGAATTGAGGGGAGAAATGGGCAAGGAAGAACACAAAAGATTAAACAAATACAAAGAAATACCAGAAAAACATAATTAAATGACGAGGACGACGAAATGCAAGGTGAAAGAAGGGGGATGTGCTCGTCGGGAAGTGATGACGAACGGCTCGATGAGAGATGACGGCGGGGATCATCGGATCGCGGCGAGCGGTGGGAGATGGACATCACACGGATCGGTCTTTTCGCACATAATCCATCGATCAAGTTGACGTTCATTATGCCCATCTTTAAGTCTTCAAGTTAAAGGGCATTATATGGTGGGCGGTATGTGTTATCCTCAACGCACAATGGATAATTATATGCTCACCTAATAATAATAATAATAACATCTTATTAGTATAAGATGATTTTTTTCGATCAAGTAAAAAAAATGTATCATTTATTAGTCGTCACACCCCCCTAAGAAAAATGCTATGCGAAAGAGACCAATCTAATGGAATAATTTACCCAAAATACTAATTTTATTATCTTTAAATCATTAACCTAAAATATTAATATAAGTTAGCCAAAATTCACTCGAAGATTACCACTTCCAACGTGGGACTAAGTTGAAGTGTTACAATATAGATATTGAGGCAGTTGGATTGGATAGATCTTATATTATGAACCTTCGTTGTCTGCAAGATAATTTTATTCTGGTATTGTTGATATTTTCTATCACCAGACACCTCATTTTACCAGTATGATTTGCTGTCCATGTGAAGAGAATAGCATGCTCCATATCGACTCATAACATGAAGTTTCAGCTGATGCTTACCTTTCTGAAGCTTCTTTTATCCTTTGCCCCCAAGGAAGAAGAGGAGAGATCACGATCATGAACAACAGAAAAGAGGGAACCCCATACGTGCATGACAGAGCACATTTGCTGGCGGAAACAAAGCCCTGACTCCATCACATGGGAACCCATCTTCTCCATCACATGATTGAGTCCAGGCAAGAAGAAAGAACATAACAGAAGCTACTGTGGCAGGTAATAGGAAGCCATGAGCAGCTTCTCATGTTCGACCCGCAAGTAACACTCTCTTCTCCTGGCCTACTAAACATACGCAATAATCTCGTCTGGAGTGACAGCGAACCTCGTTTGCCTCTGTAACAGTGATGTATGGAAACACAAATCAGCAGAGCCTTGGACCAATTCATAGATAACAATCTAATACTGCACCAAGCTACTTAAGAAGTTTATCTTTTCATTGTAGTAAAAATCAATATGGTGTAGCCTATACAAGAATACATTCATAGAAAGTTGGTCATCTTCAATAACTATATGTAGGAGGTACAGGTAGACCTGATTTGTCGATGGAAGCGGAGGAGTTTTATATGAAGCCAATGTCAGTGTTTGCGGGAAAGTTGTACCGAATCAATGGAGTAAGGATCTTTGGTACTTCAGGGAGAGGGAGTTGGTCATTGAGACTAACCCTCGAGAAAATTTGCTGTGGGTTTGGCCAACTAGCAACAAGGTGAAGATAATATTCTGATAACAAATATATATATAAAGGCCATACAGAGAAGTAAAAGTATTGGACAAACTATCAAATAATTGGATTATGATCCTTGAGATCATGTGGAGTGAGTCATTCTCCAATTTCCTAATGAAGTTGACTAACATTAACTAAAGCTCGCTGTCCTATGATTCTGTGAGGACAATGAGAAGAGATCAAGCCAGTGGAGATCACTAAAATGTTTGATTAAGATCAATCAGCTAATTGTGCCAGGTGTCCATGGTTTTGCAGTTACAGCATCCAATCATCAGAAACAATGTATCGAACAACATCAAAGAGAAAAAGAGAGCGCAAAGAGCATGACATTGTCGAATGGATCTGCAGATAAAAAGGTGAGCTTGATCCAATACCAGAAGATTGCAAATTCTGCTTCTTTTAAGTGTTCAACTTCCCAGTATTGTAAGTGATAACAGTTAAAGACTTGTTCTATTGTGCTTTAGATTTTGCATGTGAAGTAATGGATGGAGTATTTAGGAAGAAAGCTGCTACTAATGGACTTGAAATTGAACCGAAATGACCAACTCTGATCCCATTAACTTAAAATTCAGCGAGCTAACTCGCCGACCAGCACCACAAGCAGAGCTAGCGAGAGAGATCGAGATCACGGACCTCCTTTTGCCGATCGGTTTGAACAGCGGGTATCATCGGCTGCAGCACCCTCGCCGTAGCAGCAGCAGCACCGTCCTTCTCCACACACAGCCGCATGATCTTCTGGGCGGCCTCGGCGGCGTCCCGGCTCTCCTGCATGAGCTTCTCCACTTGCACCTTGGGTAGCCTCATCCGGAGGCGGACCGCCCCGTCCTTGGCCTCCTCGACATCAGCGGCGAAGGACCTACCTGCGAGCGAGAGATCCGACATGGAACGGCGGGTGAGCCTGAGGCTCTCTAGCCGCTCTTTGGCACTCACCTGGAGCTTCCCTGACCAGGCCCTTCTCGGAGCTCGCCGGGTGGGCAGCTCCACGAGAAAGTAGAGCTTCCCCGGCTTGAGCGGCGCGTCCGGGTCGAGTGGCCTCGCCCGGAGGCCGAGGCGACTGACCTCTCCCGACTCGAGGAGGTCATGGCCTCGATGGTCCCGGAGCACATTGATGGCCCGCGCAGGGGGCTTCACCTTGAACGTGGTGCCGTCTATCTTCATGACCTTTGCAGTCTTCTTCTTTGCACCCAATGCGTTGCCCATGTTGTCTCTTCTCTTGTTTCTGTGTCTTTTGGCTTGGAAGAGATGGGGGAAAAGATGGGAAAGGGAGGAGGAAGCAGATAAAAAGGAAGGAGGAGTGAATTAAATAGAGGGGAATGCAACCAACAAATTCGGTCGCACTTCTTCTCCATCCTTTCCCTGCGGAAGGAAGTTATATATTGTATTGTAGTAGTGATTCGTTCATGTGCTCGCGAGGCCTTCAAAGTGCAAGATACATATAAATATTAACTTCCATGTGAAATAGTTCAGTATTAATTAGATAAGTATCCATGATTGGATATATATATATATATATATATATATATATATATATATATAGTGTTGAAATATGACGTTATGGTGATGCAAACACAAGTAAGGGTGAGTATGGATCCTCCTCAACATCTAAGGAGCAATAGCATGTAAGTGTCACGTCTCAGTCATCATGGAAACTCGTTTCTTGCATCCCAAACATTTATTGACAAGACTCTCCCTCGCATTTGTGGGATCGACTTGTCTTATTTTATAGGTTCTGTCCTTTTGTCACCTTATATGGATGGAATGGACGGTTAAGATGTGTGAATGGCTTGGACTATGATTAAAATATGAGGCACATGAAGCTTCATGTCGCTCATAGAAATTGAAGAGGAAACTCACACATGGAGTGTCACGTAATTAGATCAGAGATGAAGGCTTCTCTTCGTTGTCCCGGGTTTGGCCTCGTTGTGTCTCATTAAAATAAGTGTATGTTTTTGGCTTAGATATATATACATGTGCATATATATTTATTCCTCTAAAATTTGGTATAATATATATGGATCGCTATTGTAAAGTTTTTGGAATCATGATTTAGATGATAGTATTAATTTTATCAGTAGAAAAATGATGTATATATATATAATTATAATTATTGTAGATGTAAGATATATTATAGATATGATTAGATTTTTATTATAATTATCGATCAATGGAAAGAAAGTCTAATTATGATAGGATTTTATATAAGATGATTTTGATAGAAGAGACTCTCCTAATTACTTATTATATATTCTTTTCTTTCGTCAATAAAAATATAGAATTTACTAGGGATTACTAAATAATGGACTATAGATAATTAATATTATTGAGAGATTATATATGTTCTCTTATCTTCCTTTAGTCACGTGAATCAATTTTTAAGAGATTATAAATCTTCTCTCGTATCTTCTTTATTCTTATTCCATCACTCATAGTGGTCCTGATAGGAAGAGTGGAGAAGGCGAGTTTAGTTTTTCTTACATATTGACATCATTGTGACTTTCGAATCTGACAATGATACGCCTACATATTAGATAAAAGATTTCTGAGTAGTATATATTTTATCTATTATTATTTGATTTCAATTTCTAGATTAAAGTTTTTCATATAACAGTAATATAATCATAGTTTATATATATATAATTTGTATCAAAGCCATATTTTGAAATCAAATACTTCAAATCATAAAAGTATTTCATATCGTATTTAGATTAAGCACTATTCTTTTGCACCTTTCGATTTTGATTTATGATGCTTAAACGATCTATTTGTATTATTAATCTACTTTTTTATCTAGTTCGTCCTCTTGCTTGCTTATAGGCAAAACAAGGTTTCTCATGTTTGATTGATGGACCACTATTGACAACTTATTGTCGGTGATAATATTATTGAGGGTGATAATCTCTGATAGTCGTAAGTTCAGTCGTGGGCAACGGTGCATAAGTATTGGAAGTGTTGAAAGGTGTAATAACCTTATGACGATTGGCTTACCTTGGTTGTAGGCGATTGCAATTATATTTGTTAATTGCGATTGATGTTGAAGGTCACGGTACCCAACAGTTGCACAATGGATGTGTGCACATAGTTTTGCGCTATGGCGACCATAGGGGTCGTCAATCAACATGTATGCATGACCACACAGAAAGATGGTCCATCGATGGCACTTGGTCAATGATGCACCATGGAGGTGTTCCACTAATAAAGAATATGACAACAAGATGCGGTAGTATGGCGCGATGACTAGTGAGGTCGTCGGTTGGACACATGAGAAGAGGCATGACGACTAGTGAGGCCCATAGGTAGCGGACGACCGCTAGACCACTGATTTATGCACATGGGCACCTTGGAACACAATGATAGTTATGGCTGCCAAAGTTAGGGTTTCATTTATTTAAAGTATAGTTTTACCTTTATAAGTCTTTTAATTTTAACTGATATCCTTTTCACAGTTGTACCTTTTAATATATATATATATATATATATATAATATCCTAATTAAATTATAGTTTTACCCTTTAAAAGTTAAAATTTTCTGTCCTTAATTATAAAATTATGTAATTTAATTTATTTCAATCAAATATTTTGATCAGACTTAATCATGAATATATTTTGACTACCTGATTAGATTTAGATTCGATCAATCAAGTTTTAATTCAATTCGAAGAAGTTAAATTTTGATTAATTTTTTACCTTAATTAATTTTAATTTTGATAGACCTAATTAGACGAATGGTTGATCCAAATCTATTAGCAAAATTTGAGTAGCCCAATTATCAACCTACCCAATTAAATAGGGTTGACCAGGGTTTCATATGAAATTAAAAAAATTATAAATTATAACTTTTTTTTATAGATTTCCCACATGACATATTAATAAAATTTTATATATGATAAATAAAAATTTAATTATTATTCTTTGATATTTGTTTGGTTATTCACATGCATATATTTAAAATTATAAAATAATATTTATTTTCATATAAAATATATAATTTATGTTTCATCATGATCACAATTATCATATCAGTTTTTCCTTATGCTGATTAATATTTAGGAATTAATCATAAATAAAATTAAGAAAAATAATATTTATAATGATGCATATAATTATGAGATTTAGATAACCCCAAAAGAGAATATACTTCGAATAATTATATGATTGGATAAGATGATATTGTTTTAGATAACCTTACAATTTAAAATTGTACATTCAAAGATAGCAACACTATTCCATAAGGATGATATCAGTCCTTTATAAATAATTTTATATAAAAACTAGATATATCAATATTTCACCCAAAAGTGAAATAGAGATGATATAAATAGTTCAATATTTATTTAAAAATTCAAAGTATTAATATTATATCATTTTATTGTACTAGTTCTTTCTTCATTATAATCTTGTAAATGTCTCTATATTTTTTAAATTAAATTATTATAAATAATTTGAACATATGTAATTTATATTAAGCATGTTAGACCTTAATCAGACTAGTTGATAGGATCATAGGCATAACTATTGAAAGTTTTATAGAATAAATAATTAAGATAAATGATTGAAAAATAAATAAAAGACTCAATTTTATAATAATTACTAATAATATTTGAACTTCATTACAGTTTACAACTATCATGCTAAAATATTTAAAGATCAATTTAAATTTACTAATAAGTCATTAGTTAACACCTTAATGAAAGAATTAAATAAAATTTAGTACAATAGTATTTAAAGAATTTAAGAACTCGATATGCCTAACAAAGTTGTAACCTCAAGAACTTTGGGCATAAATATAGTTGGGTCTTTTCTTGTATAATTTATTCTTAATTTTATTTTTTAGTTTAATTTATTTAAAATTTATTATAATTAAATTAAGGATAAATGAAACTTAAATTAATTGACTAGTATATGTATTTAGAAAGAATTAATATTAAAATATAAAAAACTCATAATATTTTGGTCATTACTCAAGGAGTAGGTAATAATAAAAAATTAAAATATAAATAACCTAAGTTTATAAATACTATATAAACTCATAAAAGAAAAATTTTCACAATAAAATACTACTACAATGGTAAGAAAGATCCTGTGAAGATGGGCTATAAAATTTGATTCAAAAAGAAAAGATATAAGTTTGATCTTGATATGCTTCAAATCAAACGTTAGAAAAAATTATCTTAAAGCGAAAGCTATAGTAGTCAGTATTCATCGTTTATATCAAGAAATGATTCATTTGATATTATGTTCCTACATTTCTAGAAAGTTGAATTCTTTATCTAAAATTGATAGGATATTTTTTTTTTTATAAAGGTAAACTCATCATGATTAAATAAAAGTTAATTTTTTTTGTATGATAATCTATATTGAATTAGTGTAAAACTTGAGTTTGCAATGATCTTATAATCAAGTATTATTTTGAAATATAGTTTTATAAACTTCTTGTAATTATATTTGCTTACATCTATGGGTCACTATATGTTTTTAGTTTTAGTGGAGAGAGATATTTTATCACCCTTATATATATATATATATATATATATATATATAAAAGGTCTCAAACTATTGATGCATTCAAGTATATATAAATAAAATCATGAGATAATTAGATAGAAAAATAAAAAAAATCAAATGTGATAGGGATGATAAGTTTTGTGTTAGTTATAATAAGTCCGATCATAATTCTGGTTCTTTTACTAAATTTTAGAAAAGCGGAGTATTTGTGCTTAGTACGTTTTGTGATAAGGACTTTAATTTATATAAAAAATTAGATTCAAAGATTATTTTTGAATATTTTATTATTTATCAAAAAAATTTAAATGGATACAAAATTTATTATCCTAATAATAGAATAAGGATAGCTGAATTTGATAATATAAGATTTCTTAAAACATAATGAATTAATAGGACTAAAAATCTTAAAATTTAATCTTGATATTTAAGAAATTTATGTTGATATTCCTTTATTATTTTCATGAGATTATTGTTCCTCAATTCTTTAAAAGAAATGATGAGAGTGAATAATAAAAGAAGATTGAGAAACTCTTATATAACATTGATGTCATCATCATATAGAACAACCATAACTAACAGTTTTGATAATATCTTAAAATGAAAGGAGACCTGTCATTCTTAGTATTGTGTTGTATATTTACAAAAATCATATTATGACACAAGAATCAAAGAATCCCTCATTGTTTTCATAAATCATGAAATGTAATGATTCTAAAAAATAATAAAATATAATTAAAAAAAGTTGAAATAAATATATCGATAATGATGTTTGAGAACTTGTTAAATATTTCAATAATTATAAAAGAATCCGTTATATAAACATAACTCAAAGGATAATATCAAATGATATAATGATCATACTTTAGTCAAAAGTTTTACTCATAATGCATGGATCACAATGAGATTTTTTTTAATTTTTTAAATAAATTTATTAAGAATCATCATGATATTAATGGCTCATCATGATTTTGACTTATTGGCTTATTTTATAAAATTCACATGCACATGTAAAATTATTTTTAAATAAAATTTTATTTTATTTATTTTGATTTTAAATTTTGTATATCTTACTAATTAGTGGGCTAAGTAGGAGAATGTTATATCTAATTAAATAAAATATATTATAGATATGATTGAATTCAGATTACAATTATCAATCAATAGAAAAGAAGTCAAATTATGATAGAATTTCTTAAAAGATGATATTGATAGGATTAAGTCTCCTAATTACTTATCGTAGATCCTTTGCTCTTACCTATAAAAATATAGGACCTTCTAAAGACTAAATAAAGAAATGTGGATACAAGATATTACTAAGAGATTACATATTTTCTCGTAACTCTCTTTATTCATCTGAATCAGTTATTGAGAGATTATAGATTTTTTTTTTATATATCGGTATATCGGTATTGTTATGGCTTTCGAATTTAACGACGGTGCACCTATAAATCAGATAGACTTTTTGAGTAGCATAAAAAGGTATGCATTATATATTTGATTCAGTATTATTTTATTTTAATTTTTGATATTAAAATTTTCATAAAGTATAATCATGACTTTTATACATATATATTTTTTAAGATAATGTGAAAACTGAAGCTATATTCTTAACCGGCATTCTCCTTCGTCAAGAGGACCTCATCTTATGTTTTGGTTCATTTGTACTGCCAATGATTATAATGACATTTGTTTTACTTAATTAAGTTTTTTTTTATTTTAGAATGAATATATATATATATATATATATATATATATATATATATATATTCTTTTGGTTTGTAGTTATCATTTGACTTTGCTACTTAAGTTCTGTAATTGACATTATTATCTTTAAATGAATGTAACTAGAATACTATATGTAAAAAATCTTCATTATGATGACTTTCAAAGACTAATCTTCGTTGAGCCAATCTTGACCAATGATGCAATTATCTTCCATATGATCGACCTCCAATAGTTATCTTCATAAATCTTTGATGGGTTGGCTTAGAATGTGTTGACTTAAATAACCTATAATGCACAAATTTTTTTATGACATGTGAAATAGGTACCACTAGAGTGTCAAGAATTGGATCTTCTCTAATTATCAAGTTAGAAGCATAAACTTTTGAGAAAGAGTATCCAATTACCTTTGAGCGCATAGGAGATAAAAATTCCTTTGTATAAGCTTGATTGATGATGGAGACAAATAATATATTTGATATGATTATTTCAAAATAAACAAAAATATTTGGTAAGGTCTTGCAAGATTGTGACAACTAGATCCATGAAAGCTAATACATCAAGCTTCAAATGTTTATAACACTAATGTCGAGCCAAAGATTGTTTATACTCATTCTGGCATGTAATCATGTTACTTGTTCGTCATCCAACTAAAAAGATTCTATCAGTATTTTGGACTAAAATGATGTGGATGTGCCTAAGAATTCAATTATATATGTAGGACATAGGAAGATTCCAAGGCTTAAAGATTGTGAAGATATTGACTAATTTTGGAAGATTTCAAATCAAAGATAGCTAACTAATCCCCTTCATTGGTTATAGATGCTCATTAACTAATCGCTACAGAAGTCTTTTATGCTTTGGGTTATTTAGTTTATAAAAATCTTAAATCATATATTATCAGATATTTTGCTTTTGTTTTATCCTATGCAAAGATTTCGCAAATGGGTAAAACCGTGCGAATCCATTAAGGATGTGGAAAGACTAATAATAATAGCTGTTCATTAAATACGATACCGAGAACGAACGGTGAGTACAGTTTCCAACGCCTTGCGTCCATCATACCCACTCGGCGGGCCCCCACGAAATCTCCGCCCGTGTACCTCCAGCCAATAGGAATCCAGAGAAGCGGATGCCTTCCATTCCATTAGCCAATCACCTTCGAGATAAGGCCCCGCCAGTGCGCCCCAAAAGCTCATTCCTATCCCCTCTTTCCATCCGGCAAACGCGTGAAAGACCTGCCACTCATCACTGGTTGATCCAAAAAGCGTGCTCGATTGTAGCAATAAACAGACCCAATGACCTACCAAACAGCAACTTTGAATATAATGTCTCGGGCCCCACGAAAACGATCCATCATTGGCTTGGTATATTCTTGAAGATGCGTGCCGATGCAGGGTTTTATATAGGTGCGGTAAGGATCAATGAGATATTTCCTGATACCTACTATAAAGGTCTCTGAGATATTTCCCAGCTTAGATATTTCTTATCGGCAACTCTCCCACTCTTGATCTCTTCCAGTTTAGCGCCGCAGCGATGGATGACTCCGAGAAGCAGCAGCGACCTTCACCGGATGCGGTGGGCGGCAAGGCGGCCCGCGCATGTTACGGTTGCCTCCGCCACCGGGCGCGGTGGTATTGCACCGCTCATCACGCTTTCCTTTGCCAGATCTGCGACTCCTCCGTGCATTCCGCCAACCCCCTCGTGCGCCGCCACCAGCGTGTCCGACTCACTACGACGAGTCTGGTTGGTGAGCCGGGCGAGTCGTCCCCGAGTTGGCTCGAGGGATTCGAGCGCAAGGCACGCACCTCTCGGCCTCAGCACCGCACCAATATGATGGCTGCCGGAGATTTGCCGGAGCAGCTCGTTGATGCGTCAGTGGATGAGGATGATGATGGAGAGCAGGAAGAAGAGCTTTCATACTGCGTCCCGATCCGCAATCCTCTCTTTGCCAGTTTCTGCTCCCCACCACCGCCTCTCGACAATTCGAACGCTACTTCTTCCGGTGACGACGCCGCCGCCAAGACTTCGGTGGAGTTGTCGGATAACTCTCCGGCCTCCCCTTCTACAATCAACAAGATGGACGGGTTCCTTACGATGGATTTGGAGATTTCCGAGTTCGCGGCGAGAATAAAAAGCCTCCTTGGTGGCGACCTCGTCGGCGGTGATGACGCGTTTTGCATGGCAAATCTCGAGCTGGCGGAGCCAGTGGCTGAGAACACTGGCTTTAGCATAGAGGACGATGCCAGGCACGTGAAGATGGAGCAGCCTGATCGTGACGAGGATGAAAGCCAGGGTGAATTGGAGCTGAATTTGGAATGTAGTTTTCCGTTCACCAGAGGAGAAGAAGAATCCGAAGAAGACGAAGTGGCAGGTACGGCAGTGAAGGTGGAGCAAGGAGCGGAGAAGAAAGCCAAGCTAAGGCTTGACTATGAGTCAATTATCATGGCATGGTCGAGCCAAGGCTCTTCCCCATGGACTGACGGCGAGCGGCCTCAAATTAATGTAGACAACTGCTGGCCCGATTACATGGTAAGTTCTTGAGCACTGAACTAAACATTGTTCTTATATACACTATGATTGATTCTTCAGTAAGTTGGGAGGTTAATTTATGCAGGATATGTGGACAGGAAGCGGAATGGAGACAGAGCGGGCATGTCACGGAGGCGAGATAGGGGTTTACCTCGGGGATGGAAAGAGGGAGGCGAGGGTGACGAGGTACCGGGAGAAGCGGAGGACGAGGTTGTTCTCGAAGAAGATACGGTACGAGGTGAGGAAGCTGAACGCCGAGAAGCGGCCGAGGATGAAGGGCCGCTTTGTGAAGCGAACGCCTGCATTGGCCTGTGGCCACGGCTAAGTGCTCGACTCTGCACACGGCCTTTTCGTCTTCTTCTTCTTCTTCTTCTTCTTTTGTACAATTTCTCATCATTTTGTGTTTTTCTAGAAAGAAAATTAGAATATAGGCTTCATAGGTGTTGATTTGTAGCTTATGATGGGAACAATCCTCAATTATGCAGCCTTCATTATGAACTATGATTGTCCAAAATGCGCTACAATGGATCCTGCGAAATGTACTCGACGCTTCGTTTGTGATGCATCTGGGAAACAATTCAGCGATGAACAATCTCACGTTGATTAAATGAAAACTGTTCATTTACCGTAACCAAATGGTCCAGAAATAATGCAGAAAATCCATTGATGGTACAATAAAAGTCTCTTGCAAAATCGTCAAAATAAGAACAGATTTAGACATAAATTAGCCCCACTATAACTCAAGAGTTCATGATAAAAAATTGTCAAAAGCATATATTCGATGGTAAGCAGGAGAGCAATTTTAAGGAGCTTACATCTCACTAAGTTACAACAAACGTATCAATAGTCGGAAATGACATATTTAAGATCATTGTTTGGTACTGGTGGGATATGCGAGAAGTTACATTTGTTTCCATTCTGGCAGATGATAAAAAGAGTCCTAATGCAAACAGACAAAAATGGGTTGCAAAGAGTATGTCCCTATTCGCAGCTTAAAGACGGAAGCAGTAATCACCTTAACACCAACCAGCATGAACTTGAAATTGTAGAATAAGAGCTGCATTGCATCACGCATTAAGCCCTAACACGAAAGAAGCCAGTATCAAGATGAGTTCTGCAATCAGTCCATGTTGACACGGCCATTTACAGAATTCTGATGTTTATGCATATGATAATCAAATTATATGTATCATTTGTTACATCTACCGAAAGAAATGTTAGTCCCACCATTAGCTTCAGTAGCTGTCAACTTACAATCTAAAACCCTCACTCCCTGGTGTCTGCCTTGCCTATCGAAAACAGCTTTAAGGCCTAAATAGCCACATGGATCACGTCTGCCCTCTTTTAAGCTCGGAGTAACTTGAGTACAATAGTGTTTTCTTGTTCATTTCGTAAACAGGGCTTGTTACAATTTGGCGTCCAGCCACCTTGTTGTACATGGCTGCAGTTATAAAAGACCAACCAAAAAGCAAGCACGAACATTTGGTCTACCGATAATGCAGCTTCATTGCAATCCGATCAACTTGAACAGCTTTGACGGAATCAACTAGACCCTTGAACCAAAGATTACAACAGAGGCGTGAAAAAGCGAGAACATTGTCTGGTAAAAATACTTACTACCTAAGGATGGCCATTGAACATGGTTAATATACATTACATAGCTTTCCGATTGACTAGTTGCTGCTTTCAACCACTTTACATCTGCATTAAAACTTGCAAATTTGTGCAATCAAGAGGTATGCCATCTTGTGACATCTTGGTGTGGAACTGCTATCGGAAGTAAGAACCACAATGCCATCTAAACTTACAGCACGTTTTCTGGCAGCCTAATGAGTTCTTTATCAGCATAATGGAGGAGCCTTCTTAGTCTGAGAAGCATGTCACAGTGGACAGGCAATGCTGTGCGCCTCTCAAGGTAAACTGGACTAACTGTCATCCAAGAAAGAGAGTGAAGCTCAGCTGCTATAGACTCCAAAACTATATGAGTCTCCAGTTCATAATCTTTATTAACCGACTCTGGGTTCACATTTCTAACTTGCTTAACAGCATTACTGCTACCAGCCCCCCGGATCATTCTCTCCTGGATGTTGCTGTTGTTGCCTCCATAGTGATCAATGAGGCTCACTGAAAGAACGGAGGGCCAATCTTCTCTTGTTGGCTCTCCCAAATCTTGTCCCATGGGTGGAACTGTTTTAGACACAATGTACCCTGTGGCCAAAGGAATTGCAGAACCTTTACTATGCAAGAGATGGGCAAGAGGTGGCGATTCTGATGTGAGGCATGTAGGTAGATGCAAAGGTAGCGGAGGCAGGCAGCGCATATTAGGTGATGGAATCAGGAGATACGAGGCTTGCATCAACCCCAATGACTTGAGTGGACTGAATCCTTCTACATAGCTGGTGACACTTGAGCTGCTGCTACTTTGAGTCCCACCTATACAAACAACTAATGTGTGACCAGCAGTTTGCAGCAAGCTTCAAGCTTAGCGATACACAAGCAGACATAATCAAAGTTCTTGATAGATAAAGAACAGTTTATTTCTATCAATAAAACAACTATGAAAATTGTATATGGGATACAAGATAGCACAAAATCATAATCTAAGGACACACTCATATATACATTGACCAATAGTATGTTGATAAAACATTTGTACCTATAGCTTAATGAAAAAAATTGACTTCAAAGCCTAAAACTTTATCACTGTATGATACATAAAAACCTCATGGCATTGCAGATACCAACATGAAGGATTTGAATGTTGTTGTATCTATATGTAAGGTTTGCAATATATGCTGCAAATGTTCTCGGCAAGTCTATCATTGGCATAACAAGCTAGCATCTAGTCAAGCACAGAAAGTATTTAATATCTTAGTCACAAAAGAGAGCACATCTCAAGATCATTGGTTAGAGATCCTATGATGATACTTAAAATTGATATGTAACCGTATAAGATTAAGCTTGCATGGAATAAAATATCAACCTGAGCTTCCAAATAAACTCTTTGATGGTTCAAAATGTTTCAATATTTGCTTTTGTCTATTCTCCCAGCTATACCCTCATTATTAATGGATGATGCCAACAAACCAAGGAGATCTTTGACAATTGAAATAGTTATATTGTTTCCCAAGACTAGTCCTCCATTCTCATATGTGACTTCCAACCTGGTATTAGGTGTAAGACTTTCCACATTATGATGTTGATGATATTTAGCATTTAACTGAGAAAAATTAATGTGTTACAAGTCAAAGATCAATAGAAGCAAATATATGCACCCGCTTGGGGCAATCCCAGACTTAAAAAGAGGAAACCTCGTTTCAAGTTCAATAGTCAGTAACCAACCAAGATGCTAATGCAAGGACAGATAAGTGTGTTACTCAAAGTTGCACCCCATCTGTTCCTCATGACTAGTTGCCAATTGAATTATCTTTCAACAAGAGCCATAGAGATATCAATCTTATGTTTACGTTTGAACAGGACTGTGTCATACAGTTTAGGATGCCAATATGACTAGTTGCCAATTGGTAAACTTTATCATGAAAGAACTATCAGGTACAAATGATTGATATGGAACTTACCTGTTAATACCTATAGAATAAAAAAAAATATAAGACTAGGTCTTCTATTTCAGCATCTATATACTGCTGCAGTATGCAATTCTGGACAGGAACAGTGTTGTCAATTGGGGCAAGATATCAGACCATGTTTCCAGTGTAACCCTATAACTTATGAAAAAGCTTCCTGTGGCTCCTGTGTTAAGTAATTACTGTTGAAACTCTTGGCTTCCAGGAAACATAAGCTTTTATCCCCAAGGAGTCTATCCCCTAAAAAATTTGGATTCAAAGGCTTTGTTGCATCTGTTTTTTATTAGTGCCTAAGCCTTAATGTCGAGTTCCATTTTGGTAATCAAAGCTACTTTAAACCCCGAAGGTTTCATGTTAGCCAGATAATGGTGGCTGAATTATGTTTGAAATGAATAGGGTGCGGGCCTGTTACCTTTGCAATATACCTCAAGCGAGGGAGGAGCCTCGGCAGGATAAGCAATCCTCATGCCACCTACAAAGGGAAGTGCAGGGTCGAGAGCTAGAACTTCAAATGTTGAACCCCCAATCTCGATACCAGTTTGGCTTACACGATCGACAATTATTAGAACCCTCACCATCCTGCTCAAGGCTAACTGCCCTAACCGAAGACCACCGACACAATATCACTGAGCGCAAGAGTCCACTAGCAAGACAAGAGGCTGCCAAGCCTGATCCCAATGCCTCCATCATTAACATCTCTCTTTCCCATTTCCTGCTTGGCATCTCTGTCTCTCAATGATGCTTCATTCAGGAGAGTTGGAAATGCTTAATCCCGGTTGGCCATTTTCTCTGTTTTTCAGGGCAAATAATTGACCCAGAGAGGATAGTGCGGCCACTTCGAGATATTTGCAAGTCAAGCAGACTGAATGAAGGTTTGCATAGTTTTGATACCTAAGTTGATGAGTGAAGGAATTAAAGAACTAACCAATAATAGAAATAGGTCAACAGTTCACATCTTTACTTATTAATGACTTCAAGATAGACTTATTCAGAAGCTCCAAAATGTTGCTCCCTTAGTTTAGGCACAAAGAACATAAAGGCCAAATCTCTGCAGATTTCTCCCACTTCAGACTCCTACAAAGGAATCTATGAACTTAAATAGCAATCCCAATAATGGAGTGATGTTCCAGGTTACATGAAATATACACCTACCGAGAAAAGCCCCAGCTAAGACAGGAATTTACACTAAGAATCAGCAGCTATTATCAAAATGATATAAGTTAAAGAACTACCCAAATACCTTCTATACAATTTTGTGTTTTAAGTTTTAACATTCATGCTTTATTATTTAAGACAGTTACAGCAAAGATGCATTTTCACTGAAGAACAAAATTATCTTGATAAATAACATCAACTACAAATGCAACACAAAAGAAAACATAGAACACATTTCTACCAATGCAATTAGATTGAATATATCTTTAACAACGTGCAGTTATGTATATCTTACCAGATGAAGACATATCTGCCTGAAGGATTAGATGTAACGAGTGGTCAATAGAAACGCCAACTAAGCTGATGCTCTGAACTAATTGCAGGGAACTCCTTGAGCTATCCACACCTGTTTGCCCTACCAGGATCTGTTTTTTCGAATTAGGTTGTCCCATACCACTTTTTGTAAAGCTAGACTTAGAATGCGGGCTGTACAAAGAAGGGCTAGGTGAGGAAGGTAGGTTTCTTTCTTGAATCATGACCAAATCATGCTGCTGCAGAGATGACCCATTGTTGCTTGATGTAACACCATCAGGTGTAGACCGTCGAAGTTGCAGAGGCCACTTCTTGATGTCATTACCACCAAACGAGTAAATAGCATTCTGCCACTCTGTTCATAAGAAACTTATTGGTGGCTGAAAAAATAATGTTGCGAATTTTGTTAAGAATCAGTAAAGTAACGTAAGTGTTAATTATTTGAATACCTTGACACTCAAGCTCAAAGAAGCATCCAAAACGTGTAATTATCATATCCCTTGGCCTAACAAGACCAGCATCAGAACAAGAAGATGATATCTGACAACCTTGTTGCAGAATTTGAACAAAAATTGTCTGGAGAACCTTTGTGTCCTGGCGGCTACTAATACCACCGAATGGAAAGATGCAGCTGTCAAGAAGCTCTCCTCGAGAGTCTGTCCATATGCAGACGAGCCAACGCCAATCCTCGGTCCACCCATAAGTGCAATGAAGGCTTGGTGCTTTATTGTCATGTTCTGAACCATCAACAACAGAGGCTGTTCCAATCTCTGCAGCCCCTCCTGAAGTTGAACTTTGCATGTAAATCCCACCAGTATCATCAACAAATTTCAAACTTGAGGACTCTAAAACTGAACTGCCAAACACAATAGGGGAACTTCCATGCTCCAGAGTGCCAGGTTCAGCCAAAATAAAAAGTGGCTCAAACATGAACCTAGCATCATCTAGACCACACAAATCTGCAGATCTATTCTGCTCACAACTTAATCCTCCAATCCTTGATGTTTGCCATGAACTATCCCATGGGCCGGGCCTCAAGGCAGCATCAATCTCACCCTCTCTTGAAAGAGATGGACCAGACATTCGAGGAACAAGGCAATCCTTTGAAAGTCCTGGTATCGAAGAAGTCATATGCATCAGACCAGATTGAGATCTCCCTGAGAAAGAAGAATTTTGAAACATATCACTGCTTGAAACAGCCCGTGGGATTCTTCGAGCCTTGTTGTATACAGTGAAAGCTATATCCTTCAGAATTGCAAGTTCACTGCTTGGCCTATAAATTCTCAGTAAAGTTTCCACAGTAATAATCTGCAAAACAAGTTTCGGAACACTAAACCCTGAGAGCATTAGGACATTTGATGCTGATGCTTCATCTACAGCAGCAGTACAGTTCAAGGCCTTAGCAACCTGAGAGTATAACAAAGATCGTCTCTCCTTATCTTGCGAGAGAACAACTGACCCAAGAGCAGAAGAGCATTCAACCAATGTTTGCAGAATTGCCTTGGGCTCAGGAAAAGGACAAACAACGTACACTACCTACATAGATAAGAAAGGCATTTGAGCTGTAATCAACTGTGAATTCCATTGACATATAAGTCATATACAACCATCACAAAAAAAAAAGAACATGAATGATTGAAGATGAAAAGTCTCTGTGGTTATATTTCAAAGTACATAAAGTTTAACATCAGATCAACAACGACTGAATCCAATTATGTCAGATTTTAAAGTTAATTTTACTAGATGTGTGTAAGCAATTTGCCAAATATCCTCCTTTTTCTAGAGGCAAATATCAAATATCACCTTGACTAATCTGTATAAATACTGCGAAAGCATATCACACAAGACTTACCCACAATAAAGGCGTGGGTTTTTTTTTTCTTGTGCTCATGAATACATTTCATACACGGTGCAGAAAATGAAAGAAGAATGAAGAACCTCACTGACAGAGGAAATTAAAATAGTGCTATAAAATACTGAAAGCTTAAGCTATGAAATGCTAGATGAAAACTCTCTGAACTAGTATGAGGCCGATTTTACCTATGCGTCGGGCTATTTTGGGTGTGACCTTGCAAAAGTGAGTTCATCTTTAAATACTAATATTCCATTCTCTAGGTCAGTTCTGTTCACTCAGTGATTGCAACTAAAACTGACAATATATGCCTTTTTTCCTCTGCATATGTATCTGTTTACACCATTTTATCTTTCTCTTGGTCAGTTCATTTCACTCCTTGCTTTCAACTAATACTAATAATTTCCCCTTGCATTTATTAAAAACCAATAATATACTTTGTTAAACAGTATCTCGAGTGTATTTTTACAAATTACTGAGGAATCAAACGAGGGAAAACTCTTCAGGTATCAAAATGCATGGCTACTACATTGATTAGCATGCAAAATTTGAAGGTCCAGATGACACATGATACAAGTCAAATATTTCTTCAAAAACAAAAAATTTTTGGCACTAGATCAAAAAGCACTAAGAGGCAGGAATTTGGCTACATGATCTATGACACATTACTTTTGCTACTTAATATGGCAATATGCATCACTGACAGATTCCTAAGAGGTAAGAACTGAACCCCATGTGTTATCAGGTCTAAATGACCCAAACCCAAATCGGGTCCTATCATTTCAGCCACTAGAGTGAAATTTAAAATTTAAATTTAAATATGTAAAATTTAAAAAATAGAAGACTAGAAATACATACAGTGCAAGGCCCACTGCTGCATTCTTTTTGATTTACTGAGAAACTCGAAGCAAGCTTTAGATCTTTGATAACCTTTGTAAGCGACCTGATGAAACTCTTTGGACTCCAACTCTTTGAAAGAGATAAAAAGAAATCCCTGATTGAGCTGACAATGTTCACATGATTTCTAGATACCTTCACTTGTTGGGGGCAATCAACAAGAACAAGCCCAGAAGACATACAAGCCCCAGTGGGCAGTTCCATTTGTCCTCCACTATAATGAGGTGTATGTGACCCTAATTTACATATCTCGTAAACTGTGAGAGAAAAGGAGGCCAAAAAGTCCAGTTAGGAAGTCACTATGTCAAAATGTCAACTCTGATAAAGATCATAAGACATCATAGATAAATATTAAATCAAACTAATAATGAAAAGAGAGTAAAATCTCTGTACGAAGAATAATCTCTCAAAGGTAACACAAGCAAAGAAATCTACAAAAGCTAGGATCAAATTAAGAAAGGAGGATATTACAGAACAAAGATATATGAGTAACAAACATTAAAAACATGTAACAAAGTGCCCACATAAAATTGTAATTGTTTGTACTATAAAGTGACTAATTACTTAATAACATGATCACTTAATACTCTGAAAAACAGTATAGCATGTGCTTTTTTGTCCCAAAATATTGCTGATATATTGTCATTTAAAGGTAAAGATTATGTTCAAGAAAATTACTTAGCTTCAAAATATATTTAGCTACTACAGTGGCTTCTACTTTAACACCACTATCAACTTTGAGAGGCAAACATCAACATACTTCTCTGAGTGTAGGAATAATGGCTTGTCATACCGTGACAAAGCACCATATTAAATAGCACCTACACTGACCAAACTATGCCCACTTCGCTGGATATATCTAATATGGTCAATAGTAAGGTTCTACATTTCAGGTACCAAACCCATGGGGAGTCCATGGCCAGATTGGCATGGGTCCAGGAAGTGTTGGTGTACTAATGCACAGTATGTCAGCACACACTGCAGAACAGTGAACAGCCGATTTCAGCTAGCCAAAACCCTAAAGAGCCCCATTTTAGGGTTGTCTTCCATAATTTCTTGATAAATATAAACAAGATTCACAAAGTTAAAGTGTTTTCAGTCTAAAAAACAATATATACTGCATTGAAACATATATCAGAAAACAATCACAGGTTGTATCTAAAGCAAGGTTCGCAATTTCCACTAGTGATTGGCTCACAATGGTCCAAGCTCTGTATAAGTGTACCGCAATGTCACGGACAAATCTATACAAAAGGTGTTTGATGCAATATTTGTGTATGTTCATATCTTTCGGTTTTGTACATGCTCTGCACGACATGTAAAGGGCTTGCAGTAGACTTGACAACCCTATTTTTGTTGGCTTTCATGGCCGTCTTAGTCCTACCAATGCAGGTTGTGTGCAGTCGTAGCATAGAGGCAAGATTGCTCAAAAAAGGTTATTTAGGCAACTATTTTGGGGGTTTTCTAGCTCCGTAGAGTGTTACAAACTGTCAGCCAACAAAGCACCTTAGAGCTACACAAGTAGCACATAGCCGGATGGGCCTTTGGAGTAGTGTTTAGGGCTAATTTGATATCTTATTCCATAGCAATATCATTTGAGCACTTGTGGGGATTTTTTATCGTGACGAACCATTTTAAACCCTTTGTCATGTGATCGTTCAAAGCTTGCGAAGTCTATATTTGTAATTTGCATTGCCTATCGAGTATTTACTGAAATATTTGACTATGGGATCTCGAGCTAAACGCTTCCTCTAACCCGTCTTCTCTTTTGCATGTCCTTAAGAGACCATAAGAGGCTTCAAGAAGACTAACCCTTTGCAGACGAACACACAAAGGTGTTACACGACTTAGGCAAAACCAGCTAAATTCGTGACAACACAGTATTTTATGTGTAACAAGCAGTACATGCGTACCAATCGATAAAAATCAGATTTCGGTCTCTTCAACCCATCCGATCGGTCATTGGACATTTTTGAGTGTTTAAATACACCTTCATCCTTCGCTCCTCAAGATATTATAAGCCCCAGGAATAGTCAAATGAAAATAGGTTTTAAGGCTTAATTCAAAATTCTTGACAAAAGCAAAGGATCTGTAAACCTTCGTGTTGTAATTAGGAATTTAGGATATTATATAGATACTGAGAAAATGCAGGATATTGCTAAAATAACCACCATGAACTTCAAATTTTCAGAGATTCAAAAACCTGAAGTTGTAGTAGTATTACCAAAAAGTTATATTCAATCAGGATTACCCCTGTTATGAATTCATTACCAAAACTTGCACATGCTAGAAGCAGTTCAGTCTAAACTACAGGCAACTAATATTGGCTTAGTTGTCGAATCCTAATCATGTTTGATCTCACATCAATAAAAATTATGCTTCATAATAACAGAAAAAGAAAGGGTCTCATCAAATCAAATTATGCATTTAACATGACTACTGAACCAAATCAATATATACTGAAAGTAGACCAGAAACTTACCAGTCCCTAACTGCTGAAAAAAATCCACAGCTGCAGAAGTCAGAAGTTCAATATCTGGACATAGAGCATAGTAAGTGACCTGCAATAGTCATCACCCATCAACATTAGCATAATACAAAGTGCTTTAGAGCGCCCACCAGAGAAGAAGACAAATGTGTATATATGATAATTAGCAACAGACTTACCGGCTTTGGTGAAGCATATGGTTCTAAAGGAGCCTTCTCCCACAGACGCAGTGAATTAACTGATGTTTTCAGCCAATCATCCTGGTACCTGAAAAACAGAAAGTTATGTTTCCTTAGATGGATATTTAACCGGTATGCTCAAGATAAAATCACTTTGGAATACATAGAGAACAGACAAAAAAGCATACCCAACAAGTATGGCAGGCAGAGGAAGCACCATAATTGTCGGCCTGAACCGTGAAAAGCCCTTTTGCTGCTCTGCTTCCAAGTTGCATGTCTCTTGATTTAATCGCTGTTGTGATGATTCATCAATTCTTGCTCTATCTATTGTCATGCATTTTAAGTCAGTTGACATGTTAAGGAAAAGTTACCTTGTAGGGGTAGCCAGATGTACCTCTTGTGCTAGATGAACCACCAGTTGATTGGGGCGGGCTTATTGGTTCACCAACCAGAGAAAATGCACCAGATGAATCTCTAGGCTCATTCCCATCTCCCGGGGTTCCCGAATCAACAAAATGGCTGCAACCTCTGCACCAATCAATTACAGATAATGGACCATCCAAATTTCCGAATGCAGATTTCAAAGCTACTTTTATATCTGACTGCAACAAACTCATGACTGATGATGCTTGAACCTGTAAACAGTTCAAAAAAGATACATTAACGACTGCATACTATAACATGTCAATCTTCATATTAGAAAAGTTGATTAAACAATTCAAATAGTTCATTGAGTCATCAATCAAACTCAATGAACATCATGAAACTTCACTAAGATCCTCCAACAATTCCACCCTGAACTTTGTCTGAGTTGACATCTTAATTCACCATTGAAACATTACATCATGTGGTGTCGACACAAGTATCACAGGAACTGTCAAAACTGAGCAATATAGCTCAGAAGGAAACAAGTGATCTTCACCTTGATCAATTTTTAGTTGCCATAAGGGCATTTGCATTTATCAATCGTTAGGACCAAAATAATTAAGGTGCTGGTTATTCATGTTACAACATAGCTTCACCAAAATATCAAATGGTCAAAAACAAATGGAACAGTTGTTTACAGACGATCATGCATCAATAAAATACCAGGGAATGCGCCCTACAGAGACATGGGACATCATGGTGGCATTTACTGCAAAATGGCTGGAATGCTAAGTGATGACACCACTTCAATAACTAATTACTCATCACCAAGTGTTGATGTAAACAAAGTGAAAAAGATTATGTGATTTTCTTCTTTAACAATAGTCCTTACGCAATATAATCAAGTTTCCAATTAGAGCTCTTTTAAACTTCAATTATCAATCATGAACTCATTTAATTTTCATAATGGTAGAAGATCTCAAAGGAAATTATATATACTCGGCCTACAAAATGAACCACAAGATGTGGAACATGTTAATTCATCTGCCAGTACATAGTGATTTAATAAGAGAATCCAAGGACTTCACCTATTGAATGAAGAATGCATTTAATTTTGGTCCACCAAATATTAACCTTTGTACTTAAAAATTTTGATATAAGCAAAAGAATGAACAAAAGCAAATGCAATTCTGCATGCTAGAGCCCTTAACTAAAGATTCATAGAGACTACAATCTATTCTTTTAAGTTTCTTAATTGACTATTTTTAAATTACAAATTCTTCGTCTTTTTCTATATAGGGCAAGCATCATGAGAGTAGATGCAATGCTATGGATATAGTTACTATCTTTTTTTTTATTTATCTGCGAACTAACACCATCTTTCAAAAAGAGAGCTCCTTTCAGTCAGCAATTAGACAAAACAATAAACTGGTTGGCAATCATTCTCGATAATCCTTTAGCATTTTCCGTAGTTCAAGTTACATAATCTTTCTGCACCATTTTTGCAAAAATGTAAATAGTAGCCCCTCTTTCCAATTTAGTTTCGCCATAATCAACATATTTCAAATTTTGAGTAAATTCTCTACCATCTTTGGGTAGCTTCCATAATTCAAGTCTCAAAATGTTTTTCTGTACCTATATTGCAAAATATTTAACCACAACCCCTCCTTTCACATTAGTTTCACCATAAACAAAATATGCCAAATTTTGATTTCCATGGATAAGCAAATATGATCCTTAACATATGTCCTTGATCATGATATTTAAATGGTTATATGTCAACAACATACAACAGAAATTGATACAGTTGGAACTGGCACACATTTAGGCAACAATTTAAATATCAAAATACAGGTTTGGTAATCTATCAGATTGAAATGATACCAGTATATGAAACAATATACTGACCCTTTGAATAAGATAATCAAACGTGAAAATGAAATAAAACCTTGGATTTAGAATAGCTTAGGTTCATTCTTTGAATCAACTTAGTTGTTTCCTGTTCTGTCTACATATCAGTTCTCTATTTTTCCACTTAATTGAGAATTATTTTTGTCTTCTATTTAAACATCACAACTGACAAAATTTAATAATCTTGGTTAGTTCCAGTCTAGAAAGTAGAACCACATTAGCTATGTTCATATTAGAAAGATTTTAAATTGGCTGATTAATCCAATAATACATCAAATGAGTGGGCATTCAACATTTGTAGGTAGTCTGATAACCTGAGATTCAAAATTCATGCTTTTCCTGGGGCCAGTGTGCCTTAACATTCTGCTGGGCATCTCTCTCACCCATCTTCTCTCTCTCTTCTATATTTTTCTCTCTTCTGCTTATCAGTCCCCCTTATGTACCTTTCTGTTAAACACAGTGTAATAGCATCCATTTTACTGTAGTCCATACTAAATAGTTTCCTACATAGCAGCAGCAAATACTTTGCTGCATAGTCACGGCTGAGCTATTACTTTATTCATTAGTTAAAAAGTGGATTTTCTGATTTTGAATAATTAACCACCGTGGATTCAACCTATTTGGAATTCAACACTTTGAGATAAGCATGAGGCCCTTATTTTCCTCTTTAAAAGTTAAACTTGGACATATTTAATGTAGTTTATTAAACAGCCATATGCAGCACCACTCTCCGCATCTTGCTAACAAAATTTGTAAAAGAAATTTAATGTTATTTGTTGTTTATCAGTTTTTCAGCAAAAAACTATTCTTGAATCTTATCCCTACATGGAGTCATTAGCACCATCTTCAGGACCTTTGCTGCTTATCTAAGATACAGAGCTCTGAAACAGTATTATGACATATGAGATAAACATTAGAATAAACTTAGACAAATGATATAGGGGTATACTGAGATTGGCTTATGTCTTGAGCAACAGAATCAATAAATGGATCAGAATGTCACGCAGAAAACAGCAACTTTGGTTCTTAGAATTGATATAAATTCACAAGAAAAGATATTAGTGCCCTACAGAAAGGGAAAACAAATTGTGTTCATCTGGATTACCTTTACCTATATGAGTAACTAAATGCAAAATAATAAAGCAGCAAAAAAGACTCTGAGCACACAAGCAGAGGTTAAGTGGAAGCTCACATCAGCAGAAAGCGGATCAATTAGGTCGACACCAGCAATATCCAAGGAATGACATGTGGAAATAAGTCCACCACACCCTGCATGAATCATTGACGGACCACATGCAAATTCACGCCTCCTCTGTTCTTGTATACCAAGCCAATAATATGCACCATAACCATCATTGGTATCAAGGGAGAAGTCAACAAAGGAAGTAGATTGCTGTACTAAGAAGGCTATGGCATCAAGAAGATCCTGAAGTGGTTGCCTTTGTCCATGGAAGTTTATGCCTTCATCACTCAAATTATTGAGTGGCATTGAAGGCAAATTCTCACAAACACGTGTAGGTTTTGTGGCCTTAGGTGCTCCTACTGAACGCCATACACCCACTGGTGTGGTAAATGTACCATCTTGCATTCCACCATCAATATCACCAGCTAATCTGACTGGTATACTATCCTTCTTCCTTAACTCATGCTTGACTGTCATTATATCTGATTTAACACTTGAGTCACTTTGGACCAAATCTGACATGGCATTTCTCAACCCCATAGAGACTTTATTCCTAAGAGATAATAGCGTATGCCTTACCTTACACATGGCAGTTTGGTACATCATGCACTCGATATCTGTTGCAAGCACAGTCTTAACAGGCATCAAGAAACCAGCAGATTCCAACATGTGCTCACCTTTCTTTTGGAATGTCAAGGCAGCATTCATTGATTTCACGCCACATATAGAAGACAATCCTTCCCCATTGTTTGAAGTCACATCACTATTAACTGATCTATTGTTTTTCTTTTCTATTCCACAAGCTACATGTGTATATAATTTAGAAGATTTGACAGAAGAAATTCCTTCGTGGCCCAGTTCACACAATGTGAGTTTTGTTGGTTTGTCAGACTTTTCTTCTGATGACTCGATACAAGGGGGTGGCATGGCATTATACATATAAGCACTAGAACTAGAACTGGAGCTCTCAACCATTTTAGATCGAGGAACATATGGGCTTCTAAAAATAGATGTAGAAAACTCACTATTAGGGGTCTCCACAGGAGCATATTCTGGAGCAAACGTCATCATAGCTTCTGCTTTTGTCAGATAATCAAACTTACCAGTTGAGTGACCTGACTCAGCATGAGATGACAACCTGGTATCCTTTGGAATATCTGATTTTGTTTCTGTTGTCTCCTCTGTATGGATCACCGTCTGGTGGTTAAAGCCTTCTAGAGATGCAAGACCAGCATGACAAATATTCTGCTCAGATACTTCCATGACCCCATTACATGGACTGCCAGTGACATCTCCAAATTCAGCAGCCGGAAATATAAGGGCTTGAGACTCGGCAGTACCTGGCGGCTATCAGAAGAAGTTCGAGTAAGTTATATACTATCAAGATCATTGTTACAATCAACCAAAAAAAATTACTCTAGTCAAGCTAACTTTAATTTTAAAGTACAGAGAGAAGAGAGAGCATTGCTACAGCTTTAAAAAAATTGAGAAATCATGCCTAGTTAATATCTTTGGTTGGAAAATAATTAGAAAATTTTGTCAATGGGCTTAATAAATTATAATAAAAACACCCAGTTCTTATCTTTGGTTGGGGAAAAAATTGAGTTCAAAATCACACAACAAGAAGATAAAATTAATCTATTAAAACTGCTGCTTCTAAATCAGGCCCAGGCCAAAGAAAATACAAAAAATGTCACAAGCAATGTTATCAAAGGTGCACTTAAGCCACACATATGGACAAGGTTCACCAAAGCTTACATTTTAAACCTTGCCTCAGCTAAGGTTCATAGGCTTCGCTGAGTCAATCCTCAAGCAAATGCCTAGTGAACCTATTAAAAATCCTTAAGTACAAACAGACAAGCCCCTAAATTGTTAACATGTATATCCTCGCTGATTCCATCACCTAGAGCATTACAAATGCATATTTTGAAATTACAAAATTGAAAGATATACAATTGGTAAAGAGAGGTCATTTGAAAAAAAGAAAGAAACTGACTAACTAATATTTAAAAAGAAGAAATGATGTACTGGCAATCACGAAAGTGCATTCCATCTATTGCCTATGCAGCGGTGTATGCAACCAATTACAAATTCACACATAAATATTCAACATGACAAGCTCCAAAATTTTAAATATGGAATCAGCTGTACATAATACATGCCAAATGATAAGCTTTATGATTTATGAGAAGCCATTATACTCGTACAAAACTTATCTATATGACCATAGAAAACGATAGAAGTCTTGCAAAATTGATAAAGTGCCCTACCCAATTTCCTGCTACTATTTGAGACTTCCTTTTCACCAGACAATCTTGTGCGAGTTTGGTTATAAAGAAGTCTTGAGTACAGATTTCTGTTAACTCCATTTAAGTGATCACTTCTGTCATCTCCCTCTTCTTTCGAAGCCAAATGTTTCAAGTGGCTCACTGCCAACCACAAAGTTCAATTTGTAAGAGGTGCCGCCCAAAAGGAGATGGATCTAGTATGAGTCTTCCCTGTTTGTGAGGCTCAAGTTGAATCTGTTGATCATATTCTCCTGTGTTGTTTCTTGGCTCCCTAGTTTGGGACCCCTAATTAGAGCTTTTATACTTGCACCTCTACATGCTTTTATTTCTCTAATATAGAGGCCTAATGGAAGAGATGTTTCTCTCTAAGATGGTGAAATTACAGAGATGGTTTGATCCAGTGTTCCAAAAAATCACCTATAATGCTGCGTGTGTACAGTCATAGGGTCACTCCGCAAATTGTCAGATATGTGAAATATACATAAATATTTTATTCACATAAGCCTAAAATTTCATTATATATTTAGCTTACATTTCTTCCTCATTACTATTGTTTCAACCATTACTATTATCTTGTATATTGTCCATTGATAATATGGCATAGATCACTTTGATCCTTGATCATTCCTTGTAACTTCATTCAAATTAGTTCTCAAGTCAGTACAACTGTCATCCAAAAAACTCTTCTGATCTGATCTTGATAGATATATTTATTTATTGGTAATTTAGACTTGACTGTATATTTTGCTTATATTTAATTGAATATTCTCTTAAATAATTTAAGTAAACTACACATGCAGCAGCATATGGCTCATCATGCCACGTTTTATGTAGTACCTCGCCCACTGCACACAGCATCTGCTTTTTAGAACCTCAGTACAATCCTTCATTAGTAGAGAAATTGACAAGAGAGAAACAATACAAAGTTTCAAGGAGTTTATCTGTAAACCATAAAATTTCCTGATACACAACCTCACCTAGTTTACAGGGTTTCAAGTGTGGTAACTAGTGACTGATTCCCTTTCATGTTGCATGTACCATACAGACATGATTGATTCTCTTTCAAGTTGTAATTATTGAATGTTCTTGTGATGCAACATCTCAAAGTCTGTATTAGACTGAATCACAATGCATGCAGATGGCATTGCATTACTCTAGCATAAAGTCCAGTGCAAGAAATCCAATGGTTAAGCTGGAACAAAAATAAGAATGTCAACATCAGATCATGCTGCTATATGGGGTTTTCTAATCGAGTCTTAGAATCTTGGGTGCCGTTTCAGTTCAATGTACATATAATCCAAGAATCACCCAAAAATTGATCATGCTTAGATCCATGTCTTTAATTCATTCACTAATTCATATGACAAAGTTTTAATACATTAATTTTTCATATTTCAACAAAATTAATTAATCATTTTTTCAAAGTGCTCCATAATTTGAGCTGATAAATAAAAGACACATTTTGATTTCAGATATTAGTACATAATAACATATCTAAAATGCATTCCATTTTCCTCATTCAAATGAATTTTTTTCTGAAAATATTTGTGCAAGTGTGCATTTTTTTTTCATTTATATTACTTAACAGCTAGCTACCACTCTTATAGCAGATCGTCCATTTCTTCTAGTCACTCGCTCCAACCAAGGATTAATTATTTTCACATTGTTAACGTCACATGCAGCTACTCACTTATAACTATTACTAAATAGAAGGCATCTACTGTATTAGTGTCTTAGAAAATATCCGCACAAATCCAAGATAAATCACATTTTTTTTTTACCAAACCAAGCCAATGCTATAGTAAATGATCGATGCAATCAACAGGTGGGAAAGTGTTTTTACCAAACCAAGCCACAGCATTGTCTTAACTTTGAGTTTGATGCACTGTTTTTTAATTCTGCAGGCCTCACTACAACACTCAATGGTCCATCCTGTGACCAACACCTACAAGAGCATTTAGGCACTCTCCAACTCCTTATTTAATTTGGTCACTTAACCCCAAAAGACAGGGGAGCAAACTCTTCCAGAGTGCACAAAATGATAACTGAAAAAAAAAGGTCAAGTTCTGTGGCTTGCTCCTTGAGGCAACCAAGATGTAGGTCCATCTTCCAAGAAAGTGAGAAGAAGAGAAAGGAAACTGCGTTAACATCAGGCAAGCATGAGACAGTCATTACCAAAACGAACCAGAGGAAAGCAATACTTCATTTTGCCCCTTCTTTTCCTTTCCTCAACCCCCTTCCAAAATATAAGGGAAAATAAAGAAGAAAGAAAACAATCTTCTAAGGTCCAATTATACCTAGGCAGTCAAAGCTACTAAAACAATCCGACCTTTTCCTTTTTATTTGAACATCTTGCTATCAGGTCTGAATAACTAGTGTATTCTCCTAATCAAATAGAAAGTATATATATAAGTTATAACATTTACATTTTTTGTTATATTTTATTCATTTGATGAAATGCATGGACAACTTTTGTAGTCGCTTCTTTTTTTTTTGTTCTTTACAAACTCCATGACAATGGGAAGCATCTCAGCTGATCATTTGCGGCCAACAATTTTTTAGAACATTAACAATGCAACGTAAAGTTCAAAAAGAGGATCAATAAAGTTGTTATTTGTCTAAACACAAGATCCGCAATACCGTACCGTACCGGAGTTTCGACCTGGGCTCGGTACCGGTACGGTACGGTATACCGCTCGGTACACCCAGGTGTACCGAGCGGTATATTCAGGCATGCCGAGCACTGTAGCAGGCGGTCCGCGTACCGGAAACCTGTCGGACCGGTACGTACCGCCCGTACCGGGCGGTACAGACCGGTACTGCAGACCATGTCTAAACATACTTATCATAAGCATTTATGTTTTACGAACAAATTAGATTCACACGAGAAAAGGAATTGCATACATAAGAATCAGCAGTATGTCTGGTGGCAAAAATGTCTCCTAAGAAACTAGCCACCAGTGAGAACAATAAAAATTAGCCAACAATCAGTAACAAATTATGAGTTTGTTACTCTAGTATCTGAAGTTGATGATTAAAAGCAAACAGGACAAAGATGTAGCACAATGACAAATGGATATAAAAGAAACTTAATTTAGCAGCTCAGATGTAGGCAGTTACCAATTGTGTCCCCCATAAAGGAAAGAATTAAAAAAAGGAAATTATAAGATCATACCTCACCAAAAGCCAAAATATCATCCTCAAAAAAGTCACCAAAACCTCCAAATTCAGAAAGAAGAGTTTGGATATCCATGCCAATGCCTCTGTCATCACCATCCCAATCCCAGTGAGATCCAACCTGAGTATTCTGTGCCCCAGCAGCACCTGAGTTGTCTACTTCAGCAATGCTATAGTCAGACATGAAAGCATCCTGGATTGTCGCACTCAAAACTGTGCCGGTTTGAACACATGTATCAGTTGCACCTGTGCGGGGACGTTTAGAAACCTACATTTGTTGACAAGTTCATTAAGAACAACTCATGTTGTTTCTTTGAATTGTCATGACAGGAATTTAAAAAGCATGTAGCAGTTTGCCTTGGGTTGAACAATCCTTTCTCATTTAACAGACGGCCTTGCCGAAGCCATTACTAATACTAACAGCAAAATTAAAGATCTAAAGATCCAATTTCCTAAGATAGTCCAGAAATGGAGGCAGCCACAAAAGAGTTAGAACAGAAGTTGTGTGAGAAAGAACTTCTACAGACATAAGCATGAACTTAATTAAATGAATTTCAGCACACACTATAAGATGTTTTATATGTCCCTGGATGTTGAAAACATGTGCTTGTTTCTAAAGCAATGATTTAAAGAACAAATATAAACATTAATACAACTGCTCATCGTTAGATTTACCATGGCAACTTCAAGCAAACAATGGAAAGTCTAACCATAGTTAGAATATCAAAAGCATCAATTATCTTACCAGAGAACTGGTAAAAAAATAAATGCCAAAAAATGCCTTATTTTACATAAGACCAATTTTTAACGTGGATGATTTAATGCATTTAAGGAGGATTACTTTAAAACTCCGATGCAGTTAACCAACCAGAAATAAGTAGCCAGTCATACAGGAGAAATCACCAAACGAAAAAAAAATGGCATAAGATCCTCCTTATGTTGACATTCAAGTTAGAGATCAAGCATCAAAATACAAATAACAACATCATCATCAACAACAAAACAACAGGCCATAATGTTGAAACTATTTAAGACTAGCCACATGGATCTTTCTCCCACCATTTAGCTCTAAATAGGGAATATCACTACTCAAACTAATTAGTAGAATCTCTTTGTTGTTTCAAGTAAACCATTCTTACATCTCCTTCGGTCGCTTCTTTCTCTCCTTGCATTGCTAGTTCCAACCAAATTATCTCATCTGACTAGGCTATATACAATCTCCTTTGAACACATCATACCACCTTAAATGATTTCCCATTGTATATATTCTTTAGACCTAGTTATTCACAAATGAAAATATTTGTTCTATATTTTCTGCTAACCCAAAACATCCATTTCAACATTCTCAATAATATAGCTAGACTGGCCTTACAATTATTTCACTTTTTTTTTCTAAAGGGCTCACAAAGATGACACAAGAACTTTAACTCTCTCCACTTTGATTATCTGACTTAAACTTATGAAGAATGCCTTTATCAGTCATCCAAAATCACTAAGCTTTGTTACAGAAATTTCTTGTCCATTTACCTTAACTAAACCCTCGATTATTTTATTAGTGTTGCAAAAATTACATCACATATTTAGTCTTACTCTATTCATCCTAAAAATTAGTTTCTAATGCTTATCTCAGTAATTTTGCCCACTCCTATAAAGGATAACTGTACAAGCAATAATTCTCATTTCATATACTACGGTAATAACTGACAATTATGAGGACATAAGATGAAAACAATCTGAAATCATATCTCTCTTTGCTCCTCTCATTGCATCCATAATCCCATGAATTTCTTTAGATTATCAATGTCCTTCAAATATATATTGCATAAAGGTAAGCGATGAAATGGGATTCAATCGCAGGACCTTACTATCAGCAATGCACTAACTTGACATCTTTAAATATTCATTTAAATATTCTCCAACAATAGGTTTTTCACTACCAATACTTCTTAAATAATTCAATCTAAATTTGAGATAATTCTTTTTTAGTATTATCATCTTAGCCTAATTTGAAGGAATCAAAATTTTATATTATTCAATATCTATTCTTCCAACACATATTTTAATATAGAAGTAATGTCTTTAAAGTTCTGAAGATGTTAAATGTTCTAACATCTAAAGACTAAAGTTGTTTTTCATTTTCTTCACTTTTATTGCATTTATCCCAACCTTTTCAAATTGTGAGCAGCATTTCAGTGAAAAAAAAAGAGTCTAATATTTTAAAGTCTAAACCAAGTAGCTGAAAATCTTAATTGGCGATACAGGTCCAGCAACAGGCAGCAACCTGCTTCGTAGAATGACCGGGTGAAAAGCCCTGTGCAAGTGCCGATATCTGGATCAGTAAACATCACTTGGAACATACAGATCCAGGCAAATTTTGATTACTAGATTTGAGTGGTAAACACAAGGGTGAACCAGAACTTCCAAAGCATTGACTCGGTCAAGAAACAGGAACTTAACAATTCGATGAAGAAGACAGATAATGAGGATGCCAATTTTATCTGAACATGAGTATCTAGGTAAAAATCAGGAAAAATAGACTAATAATAATTGAGCCATTTCAGCAAAAGTATCAAGATAAATTATACAAAGATTGCCAGTTCTTATATTTAAATGAAAAAATAAAAAACCAAATGGCATCAACAGTACCTTTCTGGGGCCATCATTCTCAAACTGATCATTGGAAGATAAACCAGATTGTCTACATGTGAGAGAGTCAGCATCTGCTTCAAGATCACCAGCCCCAACAGCCGTTGCATGCTCACTTTCACTAGAAGTTCTACTTATGCTGCTGATGCTACTACTTATACTATTGCTGCTACTATTATATTGTTTTTGAAGTCTCATGCCATTGAACTCAACTCCCAGTCCATTAAAAGGATCAGAAATAAAGGCATCTCCAAGCGCCAAACTAGGTAGCAAAGGATGTACCAAAACACAATAATATAAGAATACATAAGTATCTAAAGCACAAGTATAAAAACTTGATAGCATATTAACAAGCTATATACCTAGGACAAGCATATATTATGTCAAATGACCTAGAAAAGCACATGTTCAAAATTAAAATACTATGTTATGAAAGCTATAATATTATTCTCAACAGAATTCCATCTTCAAGAGTTCTTCTGTACCTTCTTTTCTTCTACATCATCTCTCTCCCCTCTCTACTTTATCATCTCTCTTTTCACCATTCTGGATATCTTCCTACCTAGAGAAAAGGATACCGATAGGAAGAAAATATCCTATCACAAATAATAATTATGTGCAGCAAGAACCTCAATTTCACCTGGACTGGTTCGTACCCGACAGGTATTTATCGGTCTGGACAAGAACCAACTTTTTAACATATTTGGCCAGTGCCTTTTAGGATGTGCAAGGAGATGTGAGCCTGTACTCCTCTCCACACTATCCAATACCCAGAATTTCATTCCTTGATGTGCAATAAATTTGTTGGCCAACTTACTTCATTTGTTTATCATTTTCTACTTTTTTCTTTAAATTCATAACCTAAACTTGAACACTTGTTGAAACTATTAAAGCATAACACTGCAGGCCTGACCAGAAAGAAAACCATATTATGTGTTAAAACCTAGATCCACCTTGTTTTAACAAAAAACATTTGGAGTTTAAAAAAAAAGCTAAATTTTCCTCTCACTAAAACCATATAAATGTACTTGAGAATCCCAATGGTGTTACCTAAAACAAGTGCTCTCTTCAATATTAATCACCATGAAAATCTATAACATTGAAAGAGCAGCAGCCAGGCAACATTGCTGGTCACTATCTGTTAGTTCCATACTTTTGCAATCCTCAAGGTCTTGATTTCCTTTCTATTATTTAATTATATTACCAAACTTTCTAAGTTGTAGAATGTAACACGATATTGTTGGACATGGGTCAAGAATTGAAGCCTGCAACTACTGCCAGAAACCTTTTAGTTCTCACTAGTCTACTCTTCTCTGTATATTGAACTTGTTATATCATCCGTCTTGTTCATCTTTGTGATTACATTAACCATTTCATCTGTCAAAGACCAATACTAACATCATGGACAGATATGACATCCAAAGACTATATACTCCTGAAACATTTGGGTGATTTGAACATATGTAAAGGAATCACCGATTCAACAAGCCTAGCAAGATTTTTATCATCTTTAAATTCTGGTACTGCCAAAAAAATGGATATGCTTGATGACATGTGAAGCCACAAAAGAGTGGAAAAACAATTACATTACTATCAGAATCAATGTAAAAACTGAACCAGAAGATCTAAAAAGGTTTAGCTTTTGAGAAAATGTAATATATATTAACCTAAAATTCATGCAAAGCAAAAGGGAAATCTTACAATCTCCAATGATCTTAAAAAAGGTTCAACTAGCATTTTTGAAATTTATTTAACCTACCTGACATTTACTAGTTCTAGTCATTCAGCTCTGCTTTGCAAAAAGAAGTCAAATCTAATCATATTAAGAAGAGGTGGATACTATGATTGTAAAAATAGCATAAACATACTACAATAGGCCACCTTTATGTCATCCAAATACATAAAACCTTGCCATACTAACACAAAAATAATTTAGAAAAACAATGAAAAAGAAATTTATTAGAATACTAAGAACAAGAAATTCATTAGAACAATTTGGCAGTAAAAATTTTGCAGATATGCTTGAGCACATGAATTAATGTGCTAAACAGGTTCAAAAGAGACCACTGGAACATAAAACTAACCAGAGCTCAGGTTGAGAGGAATCAGAGAAGTTCCATAAAGGCCACATCTCAGATAGTGATGTTCCCACCCAATTTTGTAACCAGAGACTGCAAAATGAAGAAGATGACAAAAAACAAAAAGCGAACTTCATATAGATAAAATGTATTTTTAAAAGAAGTACCTCTTGTTGAAAGATCTAGCAAAGGCTCTATGCATCATAGGGATCACCACAGCTTCTGCTGGATATATGAATGTTCTTTCAAGAACTGGAAGGTGATCAACCCCATGCTTCTTCTGGACTTTCCCAACTGCTATAAGATGGGGCTCTTCATTGTGCACATGGGATTCATTGGTATTTTGCTTATTATTCGATCCCATAACAATGTCAGAATGGCAGTCAAAAGTGACTTCAACATAACATCTTTGCCCTCTCAGTTGGCAATTAGAAGATTGAACCATATGGGATGGCATTCCAATTGCGATGCCATTTGACCCCTTCAGCTTGCTGACAAAGAAGATAAGCCATACTTTCAGAAACCACAAATAAATATTTGGTCATAATTCTATTACCAAGGTAATAGGGTTTTAATACTAAATCACATATTAATTGGCGAATACTGGATAATCAAGGTGTTATGAAATTTATTACTTTCCATCCTTAGAAAAGGGCTCGAAGAGGGGTGCATTATGTTCAAACCTTTTTTTCATTACACAATTCCATCCATTGGTAGAAAATTCACATAGCTAACTAGAAGTTAAAATAAAAACTCCATAATCCATCTTTTCTACCAAAAGCTCCCCATCTTAGACAAAACTTGAAAAGGTTTTCATCATACTTGCTTAAATTTTTGCTTGTCTATGACAAAGATGGGGACTTTCTGACTCTTAATGACTATCGTGCAAGGGCTTAAGTTACTAACAAAATATTTTGGCTCTGACAATTTCCTGTTATCTGAAATTGAGGTTATGATACCTTGTTATGACAAATATTAAAAATACAACTTAGCTATGTATTTAAGTTGGATCAAGCTTCACAGTTTAAATTTGGAAGACCATATCAGACAATTAATCGAGTGCCCGTGTGGTGGTAGCAAAACATCATGCACCACTGAGTATGGTCAATCACAATACGCTGGCCTACACATTTTGCATAGGAATCTCCAAACCTTTTACATATGTATTTAATATCTTCAGTCCTAGAATTGATGAAGGGCAAGCCCATATTAATTTTAACTCTCCACATGTTAACCATGCATTGCATATAAATATGCCAACAAAACAAGGTCTTGTCACAAGGTGTAACATCATGTCAAAAGTCAAAACCACATATAAATATCTGCAGCAAAAACACCCAACTGGTCATTAACAACAGCCACTCGTGATATGGCTTGTCCTTGATCAGTGGTATACTATATGAGGCCTTGTCAAACTAGGCAAATATTTGAACTTCAATGCATATCAATGTTTTAAAAAAATAGAGAGACAGGCATCAATCATTATTAATAAAAAAGGAAACATTGAAACAGATAATTATTTTTGGTAAAAAAAATAAAAGTATTAATAGCAAAAAGAAAATTAGAAAATATTCAAATTTCCAAATAAATAGTATACATAATATTACTATAATTTTTAAATCCATATCTGATTTTACCTATATAATTAAATATTCTATAATCATGAAATTCTGCATGTTTAAAAAAATAAAACAAAAGCATTTCAAATTTTATTAGTTAATTAGTTAATAAATTCTAGTTTTAAAGGTTTATATAGTTAAAAATATTTTCAATTTTCTAGGACAACCATGTTTACAAATTTTAGACTTCTGCTTTTTACCAATATTTGCATTATAATAATGGGGTCTGCTTATTTAATTATTTTGTACATATAAGAACAGAAGTTAGAAACTGAGGCAATGGGTATTAGTCACATGAGGAGAGATAGACAAAGATCTTGCATTAGTTATCAACTTATTTTTAAGAATATCAATATAACATGTTCAAGTAACTCGTACATATTGGTGATTGATGCTTTTAAAATAAGCTGCAGAGAGTTGGCCAGATGACATGCCACAATACTAGGGAAAGAAGATGAAAACGTTGGTCTATACTCTAGGGGTAAACTTAATATTATAAAGTGTACGAGAAATGGAGCAACGGTTTCACTCGCTTAGCATAAGAATTAACACATTACTTGAGCTTAAAGTGGCGAAGGAAGAGGCGGAAAGAAAAAAAAAAGAGAGAACAAAAGGAACTATTACACTGAAAGGAAATCTTTGGACCACTACCATATAAGTCTTCATTTTCCATAAACATGAAAGCAATAAAGACACAACAGAAAGGAAGCAAGAACCTAATACCTGCTGTAAACTTGCTTCACAAGATCACTAGGACAACAACCAGTAAGCCTACCCCGCATGCCAGTAGGGGCAACAATAGCTGCCACAATTAACAAGTTTAAACTTATAGAATAGGAGACAATAGTATAAATCATAGGAAACAGTAAAAGTTGGAAGAATATTTTGAGCTTATCAGATCATCAGAAATAACATTGAACACAATCCTGCAACACTGTTTATGATTCACATGTTTAAACAAAAATAAATGAATAATGAAAACATGAAGTACCTGATACCTTAAGTTCTTATATCGGGGTAATCAAAAGTATTTTGAATCCAAGAAACAAACAAATGTTGCAGCACTCACCCAACTTATATAATAGAGTTCAAGAATGGGGCCTCTCTATCAATCTTAGTCCAGAGATAGAGGGCGTTAGACACAAATTTATTCATGTGTGACTACACATACTTACACAGCTGTACTTCTGTACATATACATTATCACATGAATGGTTAGGCAACTTCAGCTCTGATAGTTTGGGTTAATTTGTATTAATATGTGAAATAAAGGTTTTTTTACTTCAGCAGCAAATCCCCTTTGTCAACCGCTGCTTTGTGCATTGTGTCCACCAAAGCCTGCCATGCTGATAACTTTCCAACACAAGAATGCCAATAGATCTAATTCAGAAACAAGAAAAGAAACACAAAAGAGAACAAGAAAGGGGGAAGCCTATCTAGTGTTGCTCCAATCTCCAGCACTGAGTATATCTGGTTGTTTTTCCATGAGGTCAAGTAGCAACAAGATTTGTTTCCTGCTCCAGTCATGAGGCAGATTGACCTGAAGAGCTGGGTCAAGGCTTAAGTGTAAATGAATTCAGCACGGGAATAGGAATATGAGGTTTTACCACAATTAGATTACTGTTAGGCATAGGAGGAATTTTATTCATAGTATTCAGACTGACCAACAGTGCATTTATCAACCTGAGATTATTTCTTATGAATATGTTTCTGATGGGTACATGGTTGAGTTTTATAGGTAACATCGGGATACTATAGGAGATCATCTTGTTGAGGCTTTTGACCAGTTCCATATTCATGCCTTTTTGTCAATTGATTGGGTTCAAACCTTCCTTGTCTTCATCCCTAAATGTTCCAATCCAAGGAGAATTTTGGATTTTTGGCCCATTTCTCTATATAATGTGGTGTATAGGATTCTGTCTAAGCTTTTGGCTTCTTGTATCAAACCTCTCCTAAATAATTTGATTGGTATTGAGCAATCGGGTTTCCTCATGAGGAGTGTTTATGACAATATTTTGATTGCTCAAGAAGTGGCTCATTCTATGTTTGATTCAAAGGGCAAGAATCTTTTTGTTATGTTTAAGATTGAACTTCAAAAAGCCTACGACCACCTTTCTTGGGATACCATCCTTCGCACTCTTTACTCTTTTGAAATTGCCGATGCAATTTGTGTCTTGGATTAAAGCTTGTATTTCTACTCCTATATTTTCGTATCTTATTAATGGTGAGGACTCTAGATATCTCAGGAGCAATAGGGGTATCGGTCAGGGGGACCCATTATCCCCATATCTTTATATCATTGTGGCCCAAATCCTTTCTTGTCAGTTTCATAAGGTTGTCGATGATAAGTTGTTAACCCTATTCAAATTTAAAAATCGGATCTCCATCTCACATCTTATGTATGCGGATGATATTTTGGTGTACTTTAGGGTTAATAGAAGATCTTGTAAAACCATTAAGGATATTTTCAAGGTTTATGAGACTCTTATGAATCAGCGCATTAATCTTGGTAAAACTGAGATGTTTCATTCCTCACAGCATGCGAGCCAATATGAGACATGATATCTACTCTTTCTTTAATGTCAAAGAGGGAAATTTTCCTTTCAAATACCTTGATACTATAATCAGTCCTCGTAGAATTCCCATATCGACCTTTGATGGTAAGTCTCAAAGCCTTAATGGTAAGATTGGTTCTTGGAATGGTTCTAAATTATCCCAGGCTGGTAGGATCACCTTCATAAACTCTGTTTTAAATGTCACCCCTTCTCATGTTTTAAATGTGTCTTGGACACCCAAGAAAGTGTTTCACCGCAAGGAACAGTGTATTAAGGACTCTTATGGCAGAAATTTGATAATACTAAGGGCCTTCATCTGATTTCATGGGACACTGCTACTCTCCCCAAACAAGATGGGGGTTTAGGTATTCATGATTTGGCCACTACTAGCCTTGCTCTTCAAATTAAAAGAGTTTCTATGGTGGGGGTCCAATCTTTGGGTCAAAGTTGTTCCTGCTAAATACGGCATTATCTCCCCTTCTTCTCATGTTAGTTAGTGTTGGTGCCTGTTTCTCCGAGCTGTTCATTTTCTCCGTGAGGGTTACTCTTTTATCATCTGTGATGGTGTTTCTACTAATGTGATGCATGATAACTGGTTGTTTGATGTTCCTATTTCATTGAAGCCGATGTTTTTAAACATGGATTTCAATTTTGAAAATGTTGTGGTTTCTAGTTTGACTAAAAACTACTCGTGCGATAAGGATATGATACTGCACTTGTTTGGGTCAGGGAGTGGACCTTTGGTTACAAGAATTAATATTTCTTTTAGTCCTGTGATGATAGAAGGCTATGGAAGGCTAACCTCAAAGGGCAACCATCAGTTACATCTTCTTATAGGTTTCTGAGGGGTTCATCTAGTGACATTGGTTAGAGTGAGGTGTGTTGGGTGAGGTTATGGAGGGTTCCCATCCTCTCTAGAGTCAAGGTTTTTTTTGGAAGCTGCTTCATTGCAGGCTCCCTACCACCAGGAGAGCCATACTAAAACCAGTCGTTGGCTATTGAGAGCCTTGATTGCCTATTGCATTTGGTTGATTTGGAAGGCCCGCAGTGAGGCCACCTTCAATAGACTTAAGGGATCATCTTTCTCCATCATGTGCAAATCTTTCATGCTTATGTCATGATGTAAGCCTTTAATTATGTTTGAGGGATGTTTGGGGCAAAATCAATTACTTGTAACCTGGGCTAAACCCAAGTGTGGATGGGTTAAGCTTAATTTGGATGGTGCATTTAATGTGCAGGATGGCAATAGTGAAGCAGGGGTTCCTTCTTAGGAAGAGGGTGGGGACATGCATGATGGTAGGCTACAATATCTATCAGAAAGCACATATTGGAAATCTGAGTTGATTGCAATCAAGCGTGAGATAGAGCTTGTGATTGAGGAGGGGGACTCCAAAATGGTGATTGAATCTGATGCTGAGTTGATTATCAAGTTCCTTAACAAGGATGAACCTCCTCCATGGAGATTATTAAACTGTTTAAAATGTATTTGGACTTATTTTGAGACTTCAAGTATGTGTGTTTTGCCATGTGTTTAGGGAGAGAAACAATAGTGCTAAATGGTTAGCACATTTTGCTCCTTGCTCTAAATCCTCTAGTTTGTGGAGGTCAGATTAGCCATCTAAGTTGGCCCATTTTTGTTCTCCGAGGAGCATGGTGTAACTGTTACTAGAGATTTGCAGTAATATACAGCTTCCTTTTTGGGGAAAAAAAATATTTGACAATTGGTCAGATATAATGTGGCTACCACTTCTATTGTCTTAACCATAAAAGCTGAAACAAAAACCCCGGGACTAGACAGGACAGCTTTCCAATACAAATGAATTTTAACCTATCAGTATATTTTCATCTGCACAAGAGTTGTCTTTTAATAAAAGCTCCTAGCCAAAGGTAAAACAGATGAAGATTTGCTGAACCCAACTCAGAAAACTACAACATAAAACTCAAAATAATTGAGATGTCCTTCGGTAAAAGTAGTCTTCAACTCTTCATGGAAAAGTTTAAGATGGTCTTTTATGTTTCATTAAGTTCAAAGAAAATGCAAAAGTAGATATGGCGAGACCATCAATAACACAACATAAATAAAGAATTAGTCAAGAATTAAAATGCATAAACTAATAATAATAATGGTCTGACCGTCAGACCAAGATCAGTTGACTCTGACACATACATGATAGTGAAAATCATAAAAAAATTCTAGTATAACTTTTTTTCCTACACACCAAGATGAGTTGATTTTCAAAAGATATCAGCCATCAAATGATAAAATCCATGGTCAGCCAATTTCATAAAATAGGGATGGTACAGCACATAAGCTTCACATCAGAAGAAACATTGTACCTGGAATTCCATCTCTAATCGAGTGAGAGGAGCAATGCCATAACAATTTTTCCATGTCACTACTGCATAGCCCCCGAATATGCCTGTAGAACACGTCAGATAAAAATTAAACAAGTTCCTTCGCCAACTTTATAAGAACTAAAAAGGAAATCTGGAAATCATCAATCAAAATGATAATATTGTGAATTTCACAGACTTTGCAGATACTACTGCATGAACATAAATTGCTTCTTCAGTAGCAGCAAAGGTGAACTCAATTGTCGGCTGTGGTCTCCTACAAAAGTAATGAACATCTTAATATAGAAGTTAGTTGTAAGAAAAAAAATTCTTAGAGAGAATACAGCATTAGAAACCAGCATTATATCCAGCCTAAACAAACTTCCAGCTCTCAGTGTTCTTATAAACAAATCACAAGCTAAAAAAAGATGATGTTACATGAAGCTCACAGGACATATTTATACAAGATAAACCCACATTAAATGGTAAAAAAAAGTATGAAACAGTACTTTATATTTCTAAGATCTATCTGATCAATTGCTTTGTAATCTTCTACTCCTTTTAGAACAGAAATGCTCACGTAGAAACAAATAAAGTAAAAGTAGTCCACAGAAACTTGCTGTGAGTACACTCATTTTTAAGAAAATCTGAAAACATCAAAAGTCAAAACATGCTCCAAAAATCATATAGCCCACTTTGTTCATGTGCTTTAAGCTTCAATCTCAGTATTAATCATAGTTCATAGGCCAATGTATTTAAAAGATTCACAATCTTTAAAAGCCTTCAAATTAGCATATAGGTGCCATCAACCAGACCAAACAAAATTTGGGCGAGTAGTCTTCTTTCTTGAAAGATCATGTTACGCACCAAAACCCATTAGGATTCCCGATAAGAACAATGATATTTATGCATTTCAGAGGAAAGTAGTCTTCTTTCTTATAATTAGCCACGTAAAAGAATTTTGCATGTATTCCAGAAATTTTCCAACATGGTAGAAGTTCAATTGCAAATGGATTAGCAGGTGGATTCATCATCATTTCATAATACCAAAGAGAACAGCCATTTGGATAACATACCTAACATTTGATGTCAAAGGATGGCATCTTGTGAAAACATCTCCAAACCTCACATAAGAAAGCTCCCTCAGAGATCTATTAAATCCAATAAAATACAGATCAGATGATATTGACAAGAATATCTGCTTAATAAACAAAACTAGCAAAAATGAAAAAGAACCTTTCTAAGGAGTTCCTTAAAGCCTGAGCTAATGCTACTCCAACCTCTTCTGAATCTCCAGGTGCCAACCAAATCCCACTTCCAACAACTATCAAGCAGAACAGGAACATATTACAAAAAAAAAGAAACTGATCAGTTCCATAAAAATAAAGGATGATGCATTCCTCTACCTCACAAAAATAAATAAAGATACTTGGAAAAACATGAGGAAGTTTCTATAAATTGCAAAACCTCTCAATCTGGATATTGCAGCATGAGCAGTTTCAACTACTGAAGAATGGCGACCCGGAAGGAAAAGCCAGAGTTTTATTTTCTCATCTGTTCACAAGTAACTCCTTTGTAAACCATCATAAAACCTTAAAACACAATCCAGGATGTATACATGAAAAGTGAGACGATGGTTAGACACCCACCAGGATTGTGTGCACCCTGAGATGGATCCCATGGACCAACAAAGGAATTAGTCCATGTGCTGAGAAAGCCTTCATTCTGGAGCTGCAGGTGAGCCGAAAGTACCAAATGAGTCGCAGCATCTTTCTGTTCTGCTTTCAATCTGGAAAAAGTAATGTAAAGCAGCAAAAGGAGATACATATCAGTTACTAGAACAACCATTTAGAGGAGTCTGTTAATGAAATAACAACTTCATCATAAGTTATACCTCTTCTCAGATAGAGAGTTCGAATCAGCTTCACAAGGGAAAAACTGAAACCACGAGACAGCTTGAAGTTCTCCCTGCAGAGAAGAAGGGAAAAGGCAATCAGAGTAACTAATGCAAAAATGTAATCTAGAATTCTCCACCATATTATGAAATAATCCAAGGATATCATTTTGGATTCAAATTTTATAAAATCTAAAGCATTATCATAGAAATGGATTTCGATTTGGCTACTAAGTTATATAAAATCTTAAGCATTATCAATATAAGTGGATAACTACTTCATGTCACTCAACACATTAGTATCCTAGCTCTACCAGTAAAATGCATGTCTTGACCTCCTCCTGGGTCATAAATCAACAAATAATATGTTGCTCAGCTATATCCATTCTGTGTAGAGCACGATTAAGCATAAAACAAGAACCTTCCCCTTCAATGCATCTTCTTGGCACCCTATCAATCTTTGCAATATAGGAGAAATTCCTCTTGAATAAATAAGCAAACAAATATTTGAAACCTTTGTTCTATGCCAACTCCGAAGCATATATACTCAAGACCCGATAGGTGGACAAAGAATGAAGCATAACTTTGAGAAAAGAAAAAACAAAGGGACCAGGAACAAAGTAAATACTGAGTGTTACACTAGAAAAACTAGAATTAGCAATCTAAAAACATGAGAATCCAATCAATCAATTGAATCACATTAACCAGCTTCTGGATGCAGAAAGCAAAGCTAACAAATGGAAAATAAACATTAGACAAGGTTTTACCCAAAGAAAAGCTAGCAAAGAAAAGATAAATATTAGACAAGGTGTCTTACATTTAAATTACATGATAATCTATCTTATATATAGGCCCAACTAAGATGCAAAAAAGAAAGAAAGGTTGTGGTATTAGTGCAAGTTCCTTCAACAAAGCACATGGCCATGTACATGTACCTATAGAGACCAGTATGGTATGTCTTGGTACAGTTAGTACAATACTACACTGATTCGCAGTAAGGCTGGTATGGTTGGACAAAAAATCTTTTCTAACACATAAAACAGAAGTATGTTCAACCAACAACTAAGAAGAATGTCCCTGCAAATTCTGGCTTAGTTAATGGTATGGCCATCTTGTCCTTAACTCCAAGCATTTCCTAAACCATAACCAAGCATCTTGAACTAGGCCTTCATGGTTACATCATGAGGATAGTAGGATCCAGGCATTGGGCATCGGGACAGCAATGGCATGTCACATCAGAGTGGTAACAGTGGAAGGATACATGTCTATTGAGAAAATGTGCTAACAAGCCCTGTCCTGCAATTTTAGTGTGTGTCAGCCATCATGAAGCTATCGTGATATGGCATTGGCATATTATTAACATTTCCAAGTAAAACTCAAGTCCTTGACTTAAAGTGCATAGGCAGTGCAACCACTGTGTTCATTCTAGAGATGGCATATTATTCTAAAATCCTTTGGTTGTAATTCTTTGTTCTTATGTTACCACATGGACGAAAAAAATTCCTGAACAATGTTAGCTGAGAAAAAGTAAGGCATATGCAATAAAGGTAAACACAACACCTAACAAGGTAAGCATGGAATGTTACAGGGTTCCTTCAACCATATGATCAAAGAGCATTGAAGATATAGTTAGTTTATCTAAATAATTAATATAGTGCAAAAGGTGCAGGATATTTGTTGGTTATGCATGTCAGTGCTTTGAGGTGCCAAAGAAGTGGCCTCCAGAGAAGGTAGACTTAGAGATGGAGTCTATTCTTGGGTCAAGCAATCAGCCCTGGCACTCTATATAATTGTCCCTTACATCCAGGAGTGATGCAAGCAGATGAAAGATTTGCATCATGCAGTGTGCAACCTATCATCTAGACCTTTTCACCCATGTGTTCATGCAGAAGAAACAATACGAGAACCTATAATTGTGCATCGATTATCAGGCACTTGAAAAGAAAATGAAAGTGCAGAGACATGATATAGTTTTCCATCATACTGATGTAGGCATACGGTAAAAAAGGAGAAGAAAAAGAAGAGAGAGACAGGTGGTATATCCTCTAGGATTGCTCCAAGGTATACCCAGGTTGGCTTTACTAATCAATCCCATGGTTCAAACCTCCGCAAACTGCAGCACTTCAATTACTAGCACTAACACCCAACATCAGGAATTGCTCCAAGGTCAAAACAGACAGGTGGTATACAGATATGTGAGAATGCACCACATAGAAGGTTAACTCTTGCCAAGTGTTAAATACTAAAGCAATGACTAAAATATGTCTAATTTAAATTGCATGAGTGACAAAAGGTGCATATAAAATCCTGACCTTAGAAACAGTTTCCTAGAACAGTCTTGAAGGCCTTATTTGAATTGCATGGTGACAAAAGGTGCATAAGAAATCAGATTTAGAGCAACAAGTGGAGGACTTACGATTCTAAATACATTTGTCCACATATCCTAGTGATCGCAATCTTCAATTTGGAAATTTTTCCACTGCTTCTATTTCAACGTGCCTATGATATATTTGCACATATTGATGCCCACTACAAGAAAATAGAAAGAAGCTTATAAGTGATGGGACCAACACAAGATATCCAGAAAAAATACTAAGTATAAATTCGTTAGTTAAACCAAAAAAATAGACTGCAGAAACAGTGCAAATAAGGGTAGAAAACAAAGAATTGTGCAAGAAAAAAAACTAAAACACTGTGACGCCTAACAAATGAATACATTAGGGTCATGACATCTGAACAAGACCTTCAGCATGATCAACACTCATATCATGTGTTAGCCAACACTTGAAATGCCTGCTGTTGAACAGAAGTGAACCAAACAAATAAATCAAAATAACAAGTTCAATGTGAGGAAGTTGGACTTTTGGCAACACTTGCAACGTCTCTCCTATATAACAGTAATAATACGGTTTCTTCGAAGCCCGCTGACTTTGCTATGCTTTGATCTATCCATACATGAAACTAAATAAAACTGAGAACAAGAGATTGTATCAAGAAATACTTTCCTTAATAATTTAAATCATTTCGAGTGCAATTATCACCCATGTTACTATCTTATCAAAAGAAATTACTGATCAAGGAATACAGTCCAACCATAAGTATGATTCAAGTATGAGAAAAGAATTGACTACTTTGATTACAAAAGTCCATGTAGGTTTTTACTTTTATTGACCACAAGATTAGACACCAAGTAACTAAAATAGTGCTTAGAACAAAAAAAATTCTTCTACCAAAAAAATTAACACATGGCAAACCAAAAAACACATAAAACACAAGTATATGTCGTATAATGATAGAATGCCAAAAATGCTATGAGGAATGTTCCTTCGATCATTTTTAGTCAACAAGAAGAGACAAGGCAAGGATTACCTGCAGAGGTACAGGACGAGCCTGCGGTGGAGGGTCGGGAAGATCCGTCAGCTGCGACGTTCGAAGGAAGGATAGACCTCCGACGTCGTGTCGAAGCCGCTGACGCCCCGGTGACAGATCAAGAATTAGGGTTTGAAGGATCCGCTTGGAACAAGCTCGGGGAGAAGAGGAGGGAGGTAGGGCAGCGTCGTTCCCCGATGGGCAGCGGAGAGGTGGAGCTGGAGCCCGCCGGCGACAACGGGACGGACCGCAAGCGGTGGAAACGGGGAGAAGGCAAGGTCCCCGAGTAGGAGAGTTCCGGATCGATATATCTGTAGGCGTAACGGGGCCTCTACGAGTACACGCGAACCCGTTCCCCACTGAACGGCGGATCAGGAAAGCGGTACATAGATGGACTGGTATATTGGATAAAAAGTCCATAGAACCCCTTTCGTGAAGGATATGATGGAGGCCAAATGGATGACACCTGATGCAAGTGCACCAATCTTAAAGCACATACTTTCTTCCACGCCAAATCTTCTACTTCTCATTGAAAAATAAAATCATAACACTGCAAGTATAAATTGATGATAGAAGTACCGATGTACGCCAATGCTTCGTATAACCGTTAACCCATACATACTATTTGCCGATACCATTTTTGGTTCAATCCTTCCATGATTGATATATTGCTCGAAATTACAAATTAGCTTTTTTATGACCCAGCCATATTTGTATTCATATATTACTTTAAACTAAAAAAATTCAATAAAAATGATTAGCATGTCGAAATTATGAATTTTTTTATCCGTAAAAAAATTAGATTAAATTTGAGAGGAGGACATTTAAAAGTGCGATAAATCTGGAAAGTACAGTATGGAGGGGAACTAAAAAAGGGAACAAAAACAAACAACAATTACAACGATCACTGGCGTCATCATCATTACAACAATTGGAGTGTATTGATCTATTCAATTAATTTTTATGAAAGGTGTTCGTTCTTCCCCTTGTATAATGAGGTATCGATTATTGCACCCTGGGAGTTACTTTGATTTTTCTGGATGACTGCTTAGCTGATTATAAAATGGCCACTTGTAATAGATGGACATAAAAATAAAAAACGTACCTTTACGTAAGATGGTTCGGATGAAAAAAAATAAAAAAAAAGTCTGTGATGTCTCCGTGATATTATATTAAATTATATATATATATGTAATATTTATATTTATATTTAAAGCATTCGATAGAACCATAATATCATGTTGTGCCCGTCCATCCAAAGCACCTCATGCGAGTGAAATGTCTCGTTTACGTGTTACGTATTAAAAAAATATTTGACGTGCATATGGTCAAAATATCCCTTTTATATGATACTTTCAAATCAAATAATAAATCATTCCGAGTGCATGATATGACCAAAAGCATCTCCTTATATATATATATATATATATATATATATATATATATATATAACAAGTCAAAGTGTTCTTCTGTATATAATGCATCTGCTTAGTGAAAAATATCTGAAACATCAAATATGATCAAAACGTCACTGTTACACGTGATATGCTTGGGAAAAAAAATTCAAAACACTGGACGCAACTAAAGAGTTTCCTTTTATGATATATCTGCCTAAGACAAAAAAAATACATATATTCTATACATCCGCTCAAGACAAAAATATAATACTATCATCTTTAAACATATATTATAAGGGTCCCCACTTGCAAACTTAGTGTCTACTAAAACATATCACGTATACTAAACATGTCACATCAGTATAAAACATAAAAAGAATTTGGGTGATGGGATCTTGAGGTGTTGGGCTAAAGCCCTATGTCATCCATGTTGCCATGCAGAGTCAACACATAGAATACATGAATCAATGAAGCAACGGATGGCTGTGATCAAAATCATCCTATTTTAATTGTTTGGCCGCCACTGAACAATCATTTAACTACACCTTCATCGTGAAAAACTTCAATACTCATTAAGCTGCCTCTGTCTTCGAGAAGACTAATGCTGCAGAGTTATGAGAACAAGAGTTGGAGAGCTGTCATAAGACACATTATTATGCATTACCTGACTGGAAAGAGTAAAATTAAATAAAAAATGTTCCTGAGAAGTTCAAATTATTTTCATCTTTGGCAGTTTTTCGTGGGAGCTTATTGATCAAGGAAATTAAGGGCGCCTGGTTGTGTGTACAAGACAGCTCTTTACATTATATTAGTGTAACAAGTATAGAGTACATCAATTTTTTTCAATTGTTCGCATGTTGCAGAGGAATACGGTGGCTTTTGCCACAATCTTGACCTTCACAAAGATGCTTGATCTGGGAGTGCAATGTCCAATGAAAAAAGGATGACGGTGCTAAATTAATCCAAAGACAACATCGGAATGCTTCTGCTCTTGTATCAATTCCTCCTCTTCTAGCTCCTATCAATTTAGTTCCCATCCTGTTGTAACTCATTGCCTCCTGTGAATTTGAACTCAGCTACTAGAGCCAAGTGATCACTTCCAATATCCTGAAAGAAGAAGAAATGATTGATTTAAAGTCAATACATGCAGAATCTGATCGATTACACACATTCACCGTATTAGTATACTATGGAACACTTTATCTAACATTCTAATCATCATCAGTGTATTATTTTCCGAAAGCCCTTTCACTAATCAAGAATCTCAATAATACAGTTTGGCAGGTTATTAGCCGTTAAGTGATTCACTATTGACAAAAATGTCTTACCTTGCAAGGTAGGCCACCTAGCTTCCTTAGCGTGTCCAAGGGCAGTGTATCCAGAACTCTGGTACAAGCAAGTCCAGTTGAGTACCTGCACTAAGAGCATCTAAGTCAGAAATATGCATCCATTGGTCTAGTAATGCCTACAATGAGAGGAGATCACCAGATATAGTCAACAGTCCCAAGAAACTTGGAGTGGCAGCTGGTTGCTAGTGGTTCCCCCTGAGAATTTCTTGTACTTGCATTTCTCTGCAAAGATGTTGCCAGTCATGCACTACTTTTGGATATTATCCAGGAAATGTTGTAGAGGTTAAAAAGAAATAAAAACCTGAACACTAGCATAAGAGCTTTTCAGCTGCAATGGATGTGTAATTAGTGAATCGTGTGAATTCACAATTGCCCTTGTCAAATTTTCACCAGTCCAATCATTGATTAAACTGCAAGGGAACACAGATAGTGAACAAAAATCAGGATGAAATCTACTGTAGCTACAGGATAACAAGCACACTTTTACCAAACAACAGAGCTTTGTAATTACCAAGGCAGATCATCTAGGACAAACTGACATTTATCCTGCCTAAATACTTTTTTTCTGCCGTGCAAAGCAATGTTCAGCTGTAAGAAACGATATCATGTATTTTCTCAATTAGAATTATCAAAGATGAAAATTAGATGTAACTAACATGATAACAGATTCATTCACCTTAGATGTTGACAAAAACTCATAGATTGCACTCTGTACATATGATAAATTAAAGGAGGTCAGCACCAATCAGAATAATGGCCACATATTTCACACAAACTACACAAACAGTTTGGTAATTGAAAGTACCATTGGTGATCTGAACCAGAAAGAGGATAGCTCAGGGCTAGGAACAACTTTTATGGAATTTACTTAAATTCTTCTTGCAACCGATATTGAGTATATCATTAGCTATAATGAAGAGAATATAATAAAAAAATAAAGAGATACTTAAACAAAAAGGAACATCAGAATGCCATATATATGTGAAGGGATCAGGTATACCTCCGGTGTACTATTAAAATCACCAGCAAGCACAACAGGAATTCCACCCCATTTTTCTGAAAGTGCATTTGCCTTCAGCAATAGTCTATGAACCTGAGAAAACGAAGAGAAGCTCGAGCAACTTAAAGAGGAAAATCAAAACCTTTAGGAAGAATTAAGTCTAATAATGTACATGCTAATATTATGAATTTGCACGCATGAAAAAAATGGAAAAAATAAACCATTTGATCCAGTATCAGATATATAGTGACACTACTTAACAAGAAGTGGCCAGCAATGAGTTTCAGAAAAAAAATCAGGAAGATGATGCCAAATCATCACTTACTACTGTTGCACAAAACAATTTTCAATCAAATACAATAACTGAAACATAAAAGTTTTGTCGACCAGAGATTTTGGAAATGCAAGAGCAACTACTGTGCTGAACCATAGACGGAAGGAAATCCACTAATCTGAGCAGGGTTGTAAGTTGCGAGGAACAGTTTCATTAACACAAAAACAGGCAGCAGTTAACACACCCACACACACACATATACACACATTTACCTGCATGGTGATCAAAATACATTCACAACATGAGAATCTCAATCATATTAGCTAACAGTTTATGCAAAGTGGCAACAATACAAAAACATATCCATAGTTTACAAAAAAAAATGGATTACTCCACTAATAAAGTCTAATCTTAGGTCTTGTAATCTTGCTATAGAACCTCATACAACAAAACTATATCTTGGCAAGTAATCAGGTACTTAAATCTGATTTTTTTTAAAAAATCATCTCTACAATTAGAAGAGTTAAGATCCTCTTCAGTTCATGGCAGCGTCCAATCACCTGTCATCTCACACCATGAATAATTAAGATTTGAAGATGTGACATCTTAAATTTGTACATGAAGCACCCAAATGGTGCTCAAATTCTCAAATTAAGGACCATAGGAAGTGATCTTTTGGCTGTAATAGTAAGTTTTTTGCTAGATACAATTATTTGTCTTTGTTTTATTCATTTAATAATGTAAAGGAATTGCTACTGGTATAATTTATTGTGTCTCAGACAAAAAGTTGCTCTAACATGACAACCTCAATAGTTGTTATTTATTCCTTCTCTTATTAATAAATGTACAAGGTTCCATAGGCTTCATGATTTTGTAGTTTACACCGTATAAAGTCATGATCAGATCACTCCTCACTCATACTTGGACTTAGGGCATGAAAACTTCAGGTTTGTTTTGATGTGCAGTAGTCATAAACATGAAATCTGATCTTTATAGTAGCATGACTCTTAGAAGATAAAATGGTGTATAAGCTTACTCATAAGCTATAATACTAGGATAGCTTGTCTCTCTAGTTAGAAATTTTTGATATATATCAAAATGGTTTGATTCGTATAATACACAATGATAACAAATTTCACCCAATAGTCTAATTTAATTTCAGTTTCAGAAACAAATGTCTTGACAGTATGTAACTTTTAAGTTATAAGAAAAAAATGTAGAGTGGATGATCTAGATCAAACAAATTGGGGATATAACCACAAACATTTCTTGGTTTGGCAAATGTGACCAAGTAAATGCCAATGAAGTCTATATGAAGTAT